AATGAATAAATAGATAATAAGAAAATATTATGAATGTGATAAAAAGTGAATAATAAAATAATTTATAAATATAATAGGGACAAGTTGAAAATATTTAAAATAAAAAGTAAATGAATAAGAATAAAATATATAATTAAAAATTAATAATGTAATGAATGTACAAAAAATTAATAATGAATTGAAACTAGAAAAAATTATAAAAAAATAGAAAATATAAGACAAGTCAGATTAAGAAATTAGTAATGATAATAGTAATAATAATAGTGATAATACAAATAGTAATAATGAATAGTTTAGAGAAGAAATAAGAAAAGAAAAGGCAATTTAAAATAAAAAACATAAAGTAAATAAATAAAGTAATTTTTAATCAGAAAAATACGAAGATGAATTAGAAGAAAAATAAAATAATAATAAATACTAATTTACAAATAATAGCTTAAATAATGAAGAAAATGAAAGAAGAAATTCGAATATAACAAATTATTATATAGATAAGCATATAGCTTATTAACAATAATCTCATCTTCAATTAAGAACTCCTCCAAAATTAGAATATAAAACAGATAAAATTAGATAAAAAAGTCCTTTAAATTTAATAAAAATAAATAATAATGAATTAAAATGTTGTTCATCAACAAATAAAGAAAGTTTAAAAATAATATAAAATAATTTAGCTAGTTCTTTTTATTAATAAAAATATGAATCTGATAATTCAATTTCTGTATTTATATTTTTAAATATATATATATATATATATATTTATATATTTATATATTTATATAATTTTAAATATTATAATATATTTTTATATTTATTAATATCAAATTTATTAGAAATGTAGTAAATATTTAAAAAATATATTTTGTGATAACTTTAGTTTTTTTGAAATTGATGAAAATTTATAATTTCATAAACAAATTGAAGTTAATCCTAATTTTATTTCTAAGGATGAGATTATTAATTTAGATTTATTCATGTAAAGTGTTCTTTTTTGTTAAAAAATAGACTTAAGAATATAAAAGGAAGATAAATTATTTGGAATTAAGCTTAATAGTTTAGAAGATAATTCTATTAATGGTTTTTTTTACGATTTAAATATAAAATTAAAAGTCATAAAATAAAATTTTAATTAACATTTTTAAAAAAATAATAAACTTTATTATAAAGTTGAAAATTTACTTAGAAATAATAAATTTAAAATTCTATTTTTTTAAGAAAAAAAAGGCATTTTTTAAACAATAGTTCATTTAATAGAGAAAAATATATATATTTTATTCTTTAAATTTACATAAGAAAAGACTATCCCTATAAATATATAATTAAATTTAACTGAAAGGTTAATTTTAAATGAATTTATTCAAAATAAATATATTTAAGGATGTAAGCCATATATTTTTGCTTATAAAGTATTATCCTAATAAATTATTTATTAATTTAATTTTGAATAAAATTCATTTTTAGAATTTAAAGATTTAATTTTTTTAGGAACAATATTTTTAAAAGCTAAAACATTTCCAAATATTGAACATTTTATATAATAAATAGATAAATTAGGTATATTTAAAGGATTATTAAGTCAAGATAATGAATAAAATGTACTCTAAACAGCTTATTAATGTGGATTTTTAAATGACAGTATATCCTAAATATTCAAAATTTAAGGAGATGATGAGGAAACAGTCGAATAGAGTATAAAATAAAGCCTTATTTAACTAAAAAATGAAATTTTGTAGAATATGGAAGCTTTAGAGAAAAAAAAGAGAATAAAATTAAAAATGTTACTAGAAAATTAACGAAAACTTAGAATATGAAAATACTTTCAGAATCTTTTATAAAATAAAAAGAAAGATGTTTAATTATAAATGAAAAGTAGTTAAATTTTATTTAAAAAAATACGTATTTAGAAGCACATTTTTTATTTTTAATTGCTAATGTTGGGACTATTATTGCTTCAGGGGTTAATTCAATTTAAAAAGGATATTTTTTGTATTCTTTAAAAAAGATTTAGGAAAATAATGGATGCATTATGAGTTTTGGAGATGGATTTAATGATTAATTAATGATGAATATTAGCGATTTAGCTTTTGAAATTAGTTAAAAGGAAGAAAATAGTAATAATTAAGGAGATTTATTAGGTTTATGTAATGATTTTAAAGTATTTATAAATTTTCTTTTAGGAGAAAGTTACAGTATAGTAAAAAGAAATATTTTTTTTATTAAAGAAGCTTTTTACTTTAATTTTTTAATCGCATTTGTATGTATTTTTATAAGAAATTAAAATCTTTTATATGGAGATTAATTATTTAATTAATATGATATAGTAAAATAAATATAAAATATATAAATTAAGATATATATATAAAAAATAAATATAAATATATATATATATATAATTTTTTTTTTTTTTTAATAAAGATATTATTATAATTTGTAATTTTTAATTTGAAAATTATAATATTTTGTTATTATTATAATTGCAATAAATAAGATTACATATAAAATCATTATGCTAATTCACTTTATTTGTATAATTTTTAGATATTAAAAAGAAGCAAAAATCTTTTTTTTTTAATATTTTAAAGTTTATTTCCTGCTTTATTTGATGCTTTAATTATATTTATTTTTAATTATTTTTCTACAGAAATATAATTTGATGAAATTTATGTAAAATTTTTTAGCTTTTTTTGCATTTTATTTGGAAACACTATTTCATTAATTATTTCTGTATAGTTAAAGTATAATATAAAAATTAAAAAAAAATTAAATTAAAAAAGTTATTTATAAAATGACTAAATATATAATAACTAGTTATAAAAATAATTAACAAATAAAAAGAATGAAAAAAATGAATCTAATTTAAAACTTATATATCAATAACTAAAATATTAATAATAATAATAATAATAATAATAATAATAATAATAATAATAATAATAATAATCAAATTGTTTACATAAATAATAATTAATAAATGTATTTAATAACTAAGAAAAAAGCTAATTTTATAAATACAAATCGAATTATTTTTTTGAAAACAAAAAATAAAATTTTCTCTCATTTAAAATTTAATTAGGAATTTTCACTTTCTTGTATGATTTTTTAATTTCTTTTATTTACTTTTACAATTTTTTTGGAAAAATATTATTCCAGTTTTTTTATAAATAAGAAGTTATATTTTTTTTTATTTCTTTTTGCTTCTTAAGTTGGTATTTTAAAACTTTATATGTATGTTTTTTTTCTAATAAATTATTGGAAAAAGAATATTATAAGTTTATTAATTGTTTAATATAAATGAAATATTTTCTTAAATTAAACATTAATGAAGTGGTTATTTTTTGTAATAAATAAAGTATTTTTGATATTAAAAAAATTATTAATATAATCTTTAAAGATGTTGAAATGGATTCAAGTATTGAATAAAGTAAAAAAATAAAATTGATTTTATTTTATTTAAATAAAATAAATAATAAAAGTTATATCAAGTGAAGATGCATAAATTTGTGAAGATAATCCTTAATATAATATTTTTAGTTTAAAATTTACTTAAAAAAGACTTTAAAACTCATATGAATAATAATAATATGAATTTTATAAAAAAAAAATATAATTCTTTTAATTTTTTTTTCATATTTAATTTTGATATTGATGTTTATAAAATTATTAAATAAGAAAATTCTAATTAATAAATTTTAATTAGTTTTCATATTTTTTAATGTTTTTTTTTGTTTTTATACACTAGAAGATTTTAGTTTTATTTTGGTTTTATAAATTTTCTTTACTTTTTGTAATTTATTGTTTTTAGCTTAATAATTCCTTGGGTTACTAATATTGATTTAGCTTATTATCATATTTTAAATATTATTTACATTGCTAATTATAAATTTGATATTATATATGTCTATATACATCATACATTAGTTTCTATTAATTGCTTTTTATGGTATTTTATATTTATTATTAATTTTTTTAAAATATTAAAGGTATACATTAAAATAAAAAGACATCTTTGAAAATTGGATAATGCTTTTATTTTTAATAATATTAACAGCAAATACAATTATAATGAGATATTCATTAGAAAAGCAAACGAAATTTTAATATTTTTATAAGAAAAAACTAAGAGAATATAAAAATTAAAGTTCTAATATTTTAGCTTTGCTTTTACCTGAATTTGTATAAGAAGAAGTAATAATAAATATAAAAACATATATTTAAATATTATATAAATAAAGGTAAATTAATGTGAAGGATAATATTTAATAGAAAAATCATCAGAAAGTGTATATATATTATTTTGTGATATATTTTAATTCGATTAAATACTTTAATATGAAAAAGAAAGTATTATTTTACTATTAGATAAATTATTTAGAAATTTTGATTCTTTATGTAAACAATATAATATTCAAAAAATAGAAACAGTAGGTAAAACCTACATGGCTTGTGGAGGTTTGAAAGATATCGAAAAAAACCCTTAAAGTCTTCCTTAAAGAATTATCTAATTAGCAATAGATATGCTTTTAGTTGCAAGTTAAATATCTTGGTCTTAAGATTCCGGCATAATGATAAAAATAGGTATTAATGTAGGACCTGTAATTGCAGGAGTTATAGGTTTACACAAACCATAATTTTCTTTAATTGGTGATACAGTAAATACAGCATCTAGGATATGTGCCCATTGTTAAGAAGTATATAATTCCGTTAATTTTAAAAATGATTTTTTAATAAAAATATAAAGGGTAAAATAAGTATTTCTGAATAAGTTTATGAAAATGTAAAAAGTATATGCCTTCCAGAATGGAGATTTGAATCTGTCTAATTTGAAGCAAAAGGAAAAGGTATTTTATAATGTTTTTATGTATTAATAAAAGAAGATAACTTTTTAAGAAGTAATTCTTAAATAAATATTGCATTTTTAAGGTCTTAATAATTAAAAACAAAAACAGAAAGTGAGGATAAAATTTATATATAAAATTAATAAATGATGATGAATATAAGCATAAATTTAAAAAAATTAAATTCTAAAGAGAAAAAATAAATGATTGAAAATATTTAATTTGAAGATACTAAAAATAAAAATGAAAATGATTCTTAATTTTTAAAAAAAGAAGAATATAGTTTAGAACTTGAAAATTTACATAATTAAAAAAATATAAATTCGAGTCCTAAATAATAATAAAACTTCATCAAAATTAGTAATAACTTGGATTATCCTTAAAATATTAATAATAATATGCATAAAGGTTCAAGTTCAAGTATATATTTTGAAAACATATAACTTTCTGACAATGAAAAATATATTTTTGATAAAAATTAAAATCAAGATTAATTAATATATACTATTTCTGAAGATATTTCAGATTTTCATGAAAAATCCGGATTTTTTAAATTAAATCCATATTTCTTAAACTTTAAAAATGGTGATAAACAAATATACGAACACTTTGAAGCTAATATTTTGAAAATATACGAAAAACCTTATTTACTTTTGATACTATTAATATAAATAATTAATATATTTATTAGTATTTATTTATTAATAGATGGAATAAATAATTAAAAAGAATTAATATTAATAATAATAGAAATAATTGTTAGTATTTTAAGCATTTTCATAAGAAATTATCGAAATTTATTTTTTATAGGAATAAATATTAATTTTTTAACAGAACTTTTATTATTTGAGAAAACGACAAGATTTTTCGTACTTAGATTCATTGCTACATTTTACCTTTCTAATTATTCATTTTCTATGAAATTTTCTTAACAATTATTTATTTGTTTTGTTTGGTTGTTAGTTTTTTTTTTATATAACTAATTGTATGATTTTTAAATTATTAGCTTTGTATTATCGTTTTTATTTCTTTAAATTTTCTAAAGATTCTAAATTATTAAAAATGAATATTTATCATATGAAATTAACCTCATGAGTTAAAATTAAAATAAAAAAACTCTGAATTTACTACATTATTTGTTACCTAGTCATGTGATTATAATTTACTATTTTTTTATTTTATTTTTTTAAAAAAAAGATTTTGTATAAATTCTTTTTACCAACTACTAAAAGATCTGATCTTACAGATAATTATAAAAATTTACCTATTTTAATTGCTGATATAGCAGGCTTTACTAGCTATTCGAATTCAGTGTCTCCTAGTTAAGTAGTAAAGATGGTTTCTAAACTTTTCATTAAGTTTGATTAATTGTGTAAAATTCATAATGTGTTTAAATGTAAAAATATTCATATATATATATGTATTTATATCCTAAAAATAATAAATTTTTAATTTAGTATATACTATTGGAGATTGCTATATGGTATTAGGATTTAATGACAAAGGTAAAAGGGATGAAGTAATTGAAGCATATAATACTGTGGAAATGGCATTTACTATGATAAAAATAATTCAAGAAGTAAAAAAAGAAATTGATTTTGAACAACTAAATATGAGAATAGGATTACATATAGTAAAAAATATTAATAATTTTATTTATAACTAAAAAATATATGAAAAAGGGTGATATTATTGGTGGCGTTATTGGTACTGATATAGTTAGGTATGATATATATGGAAAAGATGTGGTAATTGCAAATAAAATGGAAAGTAATTCAGAACCAGGAAAGATTAGAGTAAGTGAAAACTTTAAAAATATTTTGGAAAGTAATTTTAAGCATATTTATTGTTTTGATGATGAAAAATTAGTAAATTGTGTATCTATTGATAGTTTTGTATAATCTTGGATTGTAAGTAAAAAAGATGATTTTTGAGTATTGAATTTTATTTAGCACATTTATGGTAATTAAGGAGATTATAAATTAATATCTAATTTGTATTCTATATTAATTTAGATATTTTTGTTTTTTTTTAAATTGTTGTATTTAATAAATATTTTAGTATATGCTTTATTTTATTATTATAAAATATAATATAATAAAAATAATTTTTTTTCGATTTTTAATTTATTTATTTTGATTATTAATCATGAAATAATATTTAAAAATAAAATAATATTTAGCCTCAAATATTTTAATTAAAAAAAAATAAATTCATATATATATATATATATATATACAAAATTCTAATAATATATTTATTTTATATATATTTTTTAGAATTCCATAGATAAAAAATTATATTTAAATAATATGTTCAATATAAATTATCAATATAAGGTTCAATTAAATCAGTTATGTTAGAATCTCCTTAATTACAAATAGCATTAATAACATCTGAAAAATTTTATTTAGTAAAAATAATTTATTTTTCAAGAAAAGATAATTATGATTTTATTTAATCTAATTCTTCATCCTTTTATTTAATTTCTCTTTTTAATCTATCTCTTTCCATTTCTATTTCTCCCTTTTCTCCCTTTTTTTTAATTTTATTATAATAATTAAAAAAATAAGTATTTAAATTTAAATTAGAGGAAAAAAGAAAAAATACCATTTATTATTTTAATTTTAAATTTAATTCTTCATTTTTGAGAAAAAGTCCTTTAGTTTTTTTATTAATATCTTATTCATCTTTAATAAGTTGATTTTCTAAAGCTAGTTTAGATTAATTATATCTTGTTTTGATTTCTTTTAGTTCTTTTTTTAAACTTTCATTTTCAATGGAAGTTTTTGCCAGTTCTTTTTCATTTTCGGCTCTTGTTTTTTAAATATTAATATTAGCCATTTGTGATTCTTTACTTAGTTTTTAATTTTCATCTTTTAATTCTTGAATTTTTTATTTTAATTAATTCTCATTTATAATATATCTTTTTTCTATATCCTATAATTGCTACTTTAAAATATTTATATAATCACTTTCTGAATCACATTCTTCAATTTTATAAGCTTATTTTTTAAAATAATCTACTTCATTATTTTTTTTAGTAATTTCTTTTTATAATTCTTTTATTTCTTATTGAAGTTGCTTTATTTTTATTTCTTATTCTTTTACTTTTAATTCAAATATTTTTTTTTCTTATTCTTGATTATCATCAATTGTCTTTATTTTTGTTTATTTGATTTTTTTTTTTGTTTATTATTTATTATATTACTCTTTTTAGTCTTTATTATTTTAATTCAGATATTTATTACTTTAATTCGATTATTTAATCTTCTTAATTGGATATTAAAATATCTTTTTTAGATTAGTTTTAACTAGATTAATCGATATTGGAATCATCATTACCTTATCCCAAATCTAATTATTCTAATTAAGTTATTTTTAGTTTTAATTTATCATTTTGCCTTTTTAATAGTTCTACTTACTATTTGTTCTTTTGTATTATTAATTTATTATTTAATAAAAATATTATATTTTACTTAATTATTTTCATTTTAAATTTCTTATATTTTCAACTTTTATTAGAAGTTTTCTTCCTATAATTATTTAATTGTCTTTTGAAATTCCTGCTGCTGCATATTATTATCTTGATTTTTATATAATTTCTACTATGTTAATGCATTATTTAAATTATTTATACTACTTATCATAGAAGTATTATGGGAATTATTAAATACTATATTATCTTTTGAACACCCAGCATTTAAATTCATGGTTTTGTCTTCTTCTTCTTTCATTTTTTTTTTGGGAATACTAATACTACTTTCATCACTAAATTTTTATCTATTTTTATGTTATTTTTCGCGCTTTTTTTTATAAAATTTTTTTTTTATTTTACTTGTTTTGGGTTAAATTTTATTAAGTTATGTCTATTTTACTAAAAGGGGAAATTGAACCTTATTTTTTTAACAAAAAATAAATAAATATTAATTTATTTTTTTTGTTTTCGATTAAAAAATACGTGAATTTAAATCTTTTAAATCATTTATTTAATATGATGTTTTATTTGTTATATCATTTTTATTAAAGTAAGCAGGAGAAACTGATCTATTGTTTACTGTCCTTATTTATATTTAATTTTTAAAAATAATGTTAATAAAAATACTTATTATTATTTGTTTATTATTCTATATCTTCTTCATCATCTTTTTAATATTTGTAATTATCTCCGAATTCATGAACTCTTATTTCAAAAAGTAGCTTTGCATTTTTATCTGGACAATTTAATAAATTTCTTTATTCTTTTTAACTTTTTATTTTATTTGTAGCATAATAAGCCACATCAAGTTCTATTTTTCCTGCTGCTTTTATTGTTTTTTAATATTTTATATTTATTAGTAATTCTGCCTTAATTATTTATTTTATTTAATCTTTTTATTTAAAAAAAAATTAAAATTACAGATTTTGATAAAAATTCATTCTTTTTTTCTTCAAAATATAATTTTGTTGGAACTGTTAATATTTGTTTATCAAATTTTGCTACTTTTTCTTTTAAAATAGGTAATATCTTAGTTTCTGATTTATGCTTTCCTTTTTATTTTTTACATTTATTGCTTAATTTTTTATATAATATATTTATATTTTATAAATATTATTGTAAATAAGAAAAAACCTCTTTTTAAAACTATTTAAATTTAGCAATCTTAAACATTTAAATTCATAATTAATTTATTTAAAACTATGTCTATTTAATATTTCATTGATTTTGTTCCGAATCTTTTAATGAATTTCGACATTTATCTTTTATATTATGTTCTATTTTCTTGAGTTTTTATTATTTTTTTTTTTTATTTGTGATTTATATTTTATATTATTTATATATATTAAATATAAATATTTTTACTTGGAAAATATTTATAATTATATTGTTTTTGCTTTATTAATAATGTATTATTTTTAAATTAGATTATATATATATATATATATATATATATATATATATATATATATATATTACTTTTAAGTTTAATAAATTTAAATGTATTTTTTATCATTTTATAAACTATTATAAAATAAATGCTTTATATAATATCGTTTTTTAAATCTTTAGTTAATATTAATTTAATTACTTTACTAATTAAATATTTTTATATTTATATTTTTTATAAAAATTTTTAATTATAATAATAATTTATCTAAAGAGTAATAATAATTTCTTAATAAAAATTCTTAAATAATAAGCCATAATTTATATAAATAAATTAAAATAAGAATTATTATGTTTTTATAAAAAAAAATTATCTAATAAATTTTAAATAAATAAATAAAACATAAATAAATTTATATTAAAAATTGTTAAAAAAAAATATAAAAATATATATAAATACTTTTTTTTTTAAAAAAAAAACATTTTTTTTATTATTTTCAGACAGGCATTAAATCATCTCCTAAATCATCAGCATTCCAATCGTCTTCATTATTTTGAATTTATTGAGGTTACGCGCCTTTTTAATTGACAACCCTCCTTTATTTATATTAAAATGAATAAATACATTAAAAACCTAATAATATTTAATTTTACTACCTTGTATTTTATGTAACATCTATTTCTGCGTTTTCATTAACTCTTGCATATTATTGCTATCCTTAATTATATTGATTTTCATATTCTTATTGCTCTTACTTTAAAAATAAAAATAAAATCTAACAAAAAACAATTATATTTACCATAGCATTATAATCAACAGCATAATCTTCTGCTTCCAACTTTCTTAATTCAGAAGCGTATTATTCATAAGGTAATTACATTTCTTTACAAAGTTAAGTTAAAAATTTCAAGCCTTTATTATTTTATTATTTATCAAAAAAATAAAAATTAAATTTTTTAAAAATTGTTTACATTCTATATTTCTCGGTTCTTCCTAATATATTTCTTCATAAATTTTTAATGCTTTTTAAAGAGAAGACATTCTACGATAACAAGAAGCTACCATTAATCTCCATTTAATTTCTTTAGATTATATTTGGGAAGCTCTTTCAAAGAAATGACAAGCTCTTTCATAAAGTTCTTATTTTACATAATAAATACCTAACCAGCCAATAGTTTCAATATTAGTCGGTAAATATTTATATGATTCAGAATAATAATGTAAAGCTTAATTATCATCATCTTCCTTTTAATTTTTTTTTTTAATTATTTATTATTGTTAAAATTATTACTCTGGCGAATACATTACCCACACGAGCTAATATATTGGGATCAGTTGGAACTTTAGTTAAAAGGACTTAATACCATTTTAAAGCTTATTTAGTATTTCCCATTAATTCGTGAATTGAGGCCATTTAATAAACAACTTCTGGAGTAGAAATTATAGTTTAAAGTTTTTCCAGAGCCTAAAAAAAATTAAAAATAAAAAAATCTATATAAAAAAATAAAAAAAAAACTTATAAAGATTCAGCAAACATATTAATTTTTTTATTAACAAAAGCCAAATTATATAAAGCTTCAATGCAATCAGCCTCTACTCCTATAGCTTCTAGGAATTACTCTTTAGCTCTCAGGAACTCATTTTTTACAAACATGCAATTTCCTCGGTTTACAAGTGCTTTGGGGTTAAAACGATCAAAAGTAATAGCTATATCAGCATATTTTTCTGCATTTTTGAAGTCTCTTTCAAGAAAATATAGAAAAGATATGTTAGTAGCTACTCTTCCCATCATTATTTTATCTTTTCTTTCAAAAGATTTTAATGTTTCAATTGATTTCTCCATATTCTTGGACTTTAAAAAGGCCATAGCTTTAGATATCTCTACTTCGGCTTCTACTTCAGGAAAATTTGATGTTTTTAAAGTTTCTATAATCCAATTATATCCATCGATAATATCCTCTTCAATTACTGGAGCTATTAATTTTGCACTTTTTACTAATATTTCTATAGCTTGTCGTTTTTTTTCTTTTATTTCATCCCTTAACAAATCAGTATAAGCAGTTTCTTAATTATTTATATCTTCTTCTTCTTCTTCTGTATATCCTTCTATTTCTATACTTAACATGGAAGCAAAACAATCTTTCATTCTTATTTTATCTCCTTAACCATATAAACATAATAAAAGATTAAATGATGTGGAAAAATCAGGACTTCCTTTCATAATAGATTCATAAGTATTGATTGCTTCCTATATATAAATATATAAATATATTAATATATAAATATATAAATATATATATATATATATATTTATTCATATACATATATATATACATTTATTTTTTTGTTATATTTTTACTTCAAATTATCCTAATTTTACAAAAGAATGTCCTATATTTTTCAGTATTTTAAATCTCATTTCTTTAGAAGTAGGAGGAATTAAATCATGTGCCATTCTATACATTTTGATTGCTACTGAATATTTCTCTTAAGCAAAATAAATATTGCCCATATTTACTCTTAGTTTTCCTGCTTGAGGAAATTATTTACTTTTGATAATATCATTATACTTTTATAAAGCTTCCTAATATATTCCATTAGCTTATAATTAATTAGCTAAATTAAATTATACAGTAAAACTTAAATCCATGTTTATGCCTTCTATTTAATTCGCGTTTTCCTTTTATCTTCTGAGATTTTTTTCTTTATTATAAGCTTCCTTTGCTTTTTCTAATGCTTCACTTGAGTTTCCTTTTAAATTTGCTAAAGCAGATTTTTCTACTAATGCATTTATTTCTTTTTCAGCAGCCTTGAAATTTTCTTCTGGAGTTGCTTCTGGCTTCTTGTTTAATTCTAATTTCATCTTTGTCTCGTAAAATGCATCACCTTTTTAGGCTTTACCATAACCTACTCCTTTTAATGATGTCATTGGACGATTTTCAGTTGATTATTATTATTTTGATGCTGTGGGACCTCTACGGGATTATAATGGAGCATAACCAGTTGGTGGTGGCTTTTTTTATTTTTATTTTATTTGACTATTTTTTTTTTATAATTTTATTTTACTTTAACATTATCAAAATTGTATTAAGAAGAATTTGCCTAATTTTAAAATTAAGTTTACATAATTTTTTTTTTCTTTTAATATTTTTAAGTTATATTTTTTTAAAAAAAAAATATTTTCTTTTGATTTTTTATAATTATAAAGTGTTTTAAAAATATAATCATATTTTTTTCAAAGCTATTTAAAAAGAAAATAAAAAAGAATGTAAAATTTAAATATAAAATTTTATTTATATTTTTCCACTTTTAAAAAATAAATTTTATTCATATTCATTAAAAATAAATTTAAATAATTAAACAAATAATTAATTTGATTAAATAAAATAAAATAATATATTTAATGTAATATTAAATTTATTAAAAAAATCTATATTTATAAATTAGACATTTATATATAAAAATAATCAAATTTTTATATATATGCAATATCCTTATACATTTATAATATAATAATATTTTAATTTATTTTAATTATTATTTATTAATTTTTTTTTTATAATAATATATTTTTATATATATATAAAATAATAATTATAAGAATAAATTCACTATTTATTTACTTCTTTAATGATGTTTTTTTAATAAAATTGCGACAATTATTATAAAAAAATATAATTACATTTGATATATAATTTTTTAAAAATAAAAAAATTGTAAAAATATACATAGATTTATTATGATAAAAAGTTAAATTTAAAATTAAAATGAATTTATTTTTAAAGTTAAAAGAAAAATTAAATAATTATAAAAGAAAAAAAAAACTATATTATTTTATATTTTTGTAATGTTAATATTATTTATGACCAAATCTAATTTTTATATAAATATATTAAAATTAAATATTTCAAATATATTATCATTTAATAAATAAATTATATTTATATATTATCTAACATTATAAGCATTTTTAAATCTTTTTAAATATGTGTTTATAATTTATTAATCATTTTGGCTTAAATTAATCATTTTAAATATTTTTTATTTTTTTTATTTATTTAATTTTAACTCTATTTATTATTAAATATCAATTAAATCATTATTTTGATAACTTTTCTGAAATATATTTTATTGGGATTTTTCTATATGTGAGATTTCTTTAATAATTTTTTAATTTCTAAATAGAAATAGTTTTTCCTTAATTATCATTTATTTACTTTATGACAAGCTATTTCTTTATTTTTTATTAAATTAATCATGTAATTAATAATATTATATAGTATTTTACAATAAAATTCATCATAAAATTAATAATATATATATAATAGAAAAATTTTGAAAATCTATTATATATGTAATATATTTTCAATAAAATTCTACTTATTTAAAATAAGAAATATTTTTATTAAATTAAAAAAATCTAATAAAAAAATTAATAAAAAAATAATTTTTGACTTAAAATATTTAAAATGATTACTGAGATTAATATTGAAAAACAAAAAGAACAAATAAAAAATGATGTTTTATACATTTTGGATAAAGTTAAAAAAGATAGACATTTTTTAAATAATCATTTTCAGAATTCAATAAATAATTATTTTTTGGAAGATTATGCGGGATAATTCTTGAAATATCATTTAAATATGTAGAGAGTCAAAGATATTACTGATTACATATTAAAATAATACTCATGTATAAAAGAGGCCAAATATATTCTAATAATGGTTGGATATATAAGTGAACTTGAAAAATATAACTAAATAAATAACTTTAAGAACTATTTACTAAATATAGTGGTTGAATAAACTAGTAGCTAAATAGAGGTTAAAGATTAGTAAAGCTTAATTTGGAAACGTGCTTTTGCCTTATTTATTTTCCATTTTATAAACAATTAACAATATAGAGGAATATTCGAAATCTGGAATTCCTTATTCCCTGAAGAAAAAATCTAAAGGAAAAGATAAAAAAATGTTAGTCATAGATTTATAGAATCTTATAAAAGGTAAGTATAAAACAAATAAGAGTCTAAATAATAGAATTCTCGTAAATTAAAGTTGAATAAAACTATTTAAAAATATAATATTTTCTAATCATAAAACTCTTAAAATTCTACTAAGTTAAAATAAAATAATGTCATTGTTGATAATTAAAAAGAATATTCTCTTGAATAACATATTACTTTAAAAGATGACTATATTTAAGATAATCATTAGGTTAATATTTAAGAAATTAATTATATGCCATAAGAATAAATATAAAACTTAAATTTTAAATCCAAAGAAGAAAATTATGAATTTAATCTTAATAACTAAATTAACTCTATGAATCCTATAAATCAAATGAATAATATGAACAATATGAATAATATGAACAATATGAATTATATGAATAATATAAATACTCATAACACTATAAATACTAAAAATCCTATGAATCATATCAATAACATAAATCTTATTAATAATATTATTGTTAGTGGATGTGAATAAAAACATTAATAAATGGAATTCGCAAAAAACATAAATAGTATGAACACTCTTAATAACATGAATAACATTAATAACTTGAATAATATTAATAACTTGAATAACATTAATACCATGAATAACATGAATAATATAAATAGCATGAGTAATATGAATAACATGAATAATATTAATAATATGAATAAAATGAATAACATGAATAGCATTAATAATATGAATAACATGACTAGCATAAATAGCATAAATAATATGAATAATCTTAATAATATGACTGACTAATATCAATAATATTAACAATATCATTATTATTAATAATGTTGAACTTGTAAAAGTTATTATTAATTAAAAAGAAATTTAAGAATAAAATAAATAATTTTAATTTATTAATTAAATTATTTTTATTAAATTAAAAACACATATTATTGTAATTTATTTGTTCTATATGTTAATTAGTATTATAGTATATACATAATAATATATTATATTACAGAATTTTAATATATTTTTTATAATTTTAAATATTATACTGTTTTAATATATTTTTACTTGTTTTATTATTATAATATTTATAAATAATTTTTTTCTTTTTACATTTTTTTTCATTTTTTTAAAAAAATGTGAATAAACCTTTTTATATATATTAATAATATATTTTATATATATATTTTTTTTTTATTTAATTTTAATACATAATTATTAATATTATGCTTAAAAGTAACTCATTTTAAAATGATAAATTATAAAAGCAATTAGACTTTTATGAAAAATATCACGTTCCTTTTGGGACAAATACAATTTCTTAAAAAAATACACCTTAAATAGTAATGGGAAATTATAAGTAATATATATTAATTTTTTAAATCTAAAAAAAAATAAAAAAATTATAAATTATTTTTTAATTTTATTTTCTTCTATTCATTTAATTAATTCATAGAAAAATATTGAGGAACTCATTAAATTGTAATGTTTAAAGAATTAAACTTCAGTAAATTAATTCATCTAACATAATAAATATATCTGTAAAAAATAAAAAAATATTTAAAAAATAAATTTTTAATTTATTTATTTTTAAAAAAAGTAAAAAGATTTAGATTAAAAAGTCAATAATAATACTCTCCAATGTTTTTAATAAAGTAGTATTAATTAAAAAAAAAAAGTAACCTTTAGAAATAAATTGCCAGTAAAAAAAAGCCCAAAATTTATTTAAATACAATTTAAAGTATTATTAATAGTTGTATGATTAATTAAAACCTACCATATACTCTAGTAATACAAATAGCTGTAAATATATAAATAAATAATTTTCCCCTCAATTTGGTCAGCGATTAATTTTAAATACCTAATGTAAAAATTTCAAAGAAACTAATTATTTTTAAGCGCATGAAAGTTTATAAAAAAACGGAAAAGAAAATAAAAAATATTTAAGTTTAGATTGCGAAGCATAAAGAAAAAGTAGTAAATATTAAAATTTTGTACAAAATAATGTCAAAAAAAAACTTTTTAGTCAAAAAAAATCTTTTTCAAATAAAAAAATATAAAGTAATTCTGAAATTTCACCTTAAATGTAAAAAAAATAGATTTTTTTTTTTTATAAAATAAAAAAGAATAACGAGTCAAGCAAAAACAACTTTAAATTAAAGTTTAAATAATAATAAATAAACAAGTCTATCATAATTATTATAATAACATAAACCTTATAAATCTCATGAATTTTTAATTGAAAATGAAAATATAACTAAAAAGACGAATCCTTTATAAAAAAATAAACAATAAAATATAAAATTTATGAACTAATTAAGTTCTCCACCAAACAAAAAGTGTAATTTAACTGATTTAAATTTGAATTCGATAATAGATAAAATAATAAAATTTAATAATTAAAAATTTAAGAATAATTTGATTAAAAAAATTGTTTTATTATCTCCTAAAAAACAATAATAAATTTCCAATCCTTAACTTATTTAAATTATAAACTAATAATAGATATAAATTTCTGAATTTTAAAAAAGAGAAGACTTAATTAAAAATATAATTTCTAGAAAGGAAGAGTCTCATATTATTTTAAGTCAAATCTAAAATATTATTAATCCTAAAAAAAATTAATAAGATAATATAAATATTAATCTTAAATAAAAACTTAAATTAAATTTGTCCCAAATTTTTCCAAATTCTTAATAAATATTAAATAATCGACATAAAGATCAGTCTGTTTTATTAGGATTTCATGATGAGTTTATGAGTAAAATTGATGAGTTTAGTCTTTCATGGAGAAAAGCAGCAGAATAAGAAAGAAAACCAAGTATATGAGTTTTTAATTATTAAATAGTAATAATATTTAAATGTGTATATAATGTAATATTAATTTATTTATTTATATTATTTTCATTTATAATTTCAATTTAAAACTATTTCTTTTATTATTATTTATAAATATAACTATATAAAAAAAAAATTATAAAAATATTCTTAATATTTCAAAATTCTATAGTTTCTATATTTTTCTAATTTTTAATTAACTCAAAAAAAGCATTTTATTATTCTACTGTATCCTAATTAGAATTTTTTTTTTATTATTAATATTAAGTTTTTGGTTAATTATCATTAGAAATTGGATTTTATATTTTATCATCTTAAATTTCATTTTTAATATCATTAGCTTTTACATAATTTTTTATTTCATCTTCTATAAATTAATGCTAAATTTCAAGATTAATATTATCTTTATTGTTTTATAAATTGTCTTATTTATTTATAGTCTCTTTGTATTATTAGTTTATTTATGATTCAACTTTATTTTATAAAATCTAATTTTAAATAGTATTATTCGGAACTAAATTTACAGTATTACATTTTGTGGATTAGTAATATATTCTTACTTTAAAAAAAATATATTTAAATTTTAATATAAATATTTTTTTACTTCCTGGTTAATAATGTACATAAGATTTACAAATTCCGCATTGAAATATTGAATATTAGAAATTTTATTCTATTTAAACTTTAAAATAAATAATATATAATAATAAATTTATAATTAATAAATATATATATTTATATATATTATATTTTACTTTCCTATACATTTTTACAACTATAGCATTACATGATTTTATCATTTTATGGAATTTACTATTATAAATAACATTTCTTACATTTAACTATTTAACTTAATATGTATATATATTTAATTTTTTTTATTATATTTTTTTACTTTTAATTATTATTTAGATTTTTATTTTGATTGTTATTAATTTTATCTTTGTAGAATAATTTAGATTTACACTTTGTTTTGTAACTTTACTCTAATAAAAATTAGAATGAAACATTTACTAAGGTACATATAAAATTTGTTGGTTAATTTATTTATAATAATTAGAATGATAAGGTTATTATATTTAATTATTATTATTTTATATATTGTGATTATTAAGTTATATATTATTTTGAGTTATTTTTATATTTTTTTATTAAGGCTCTTGCATATACTAATTAAATATATCATTTTATCAACTATATTATTTTTATTTTTTTAATAAATAATATATAGCATATTATTGTATATTAAAAAAGTTTACAATTTTACTTTCGACATTTAATAAATTTTAATTATAATTTTATAAATTAACTTAATATTATTATTTTTTATTCAATAAATTATTTTTATCTGAATTAATGACTTCTAAATATTATTTATAATAATAAATAAAAAAAAATATTTAAAATTTACTTAAATTAAGTTCTTCAAAATTTATATAATTATGATTAATAAATTCATTAGCATTAAGTTGAGATATTTATTCCATAGAAATACCTGAAGTATAATTATTGCGTATTAATTTATTTTACATTTATAATTTTTTTAATTATATTATATAATAAATTAAATAAAAAAGATAAAAAAGAAAAATATATTTATTGTTAAATGAATTAAATTATATAATAAATATATATATTAATTAATATAAAAATATATAAATTTATAAATATATATATATATAAATATCAATATAAATATAAATATATAAATACATATTAAAATATATATAAATATATATTTAATTTTTTATTTTTAAATTAAAAAAAAATTATTATATTTATCAATTTATATTTAAAAATGTGATATTATATATTTCTTTTTTATTTAATTTTCTTTCTTTTTTTTACATATTTATAATAATTTTTTTTTTCATAATTATTAATTACATTTTTTTTTTTATTATTTTATAAATAAATATTATTTTAAAAATATTATTATTATAATTTTAAAATAAAAAGGGAAAAATAATTATATATAATTATGTTGTGAATAGAGAAAATAATTTTTTTTTTTAAAGTATATTTAAAATAAGTTATATGTATATTATTATTAAAAAAAAAAAATATGTTAAATTTAATATATAATTTTTATAAAATTAATAAATGAATTACAAACAAATAAATATATAATTGATTTAAAATATTAGAAAAAACAAAAATATACACATAGCATTATATTTATATATTTATATATATGTGTATTTTTATTAACATATTTATTTATTTCCTTTATTATAAAAAATCAAACAAATAAGTTTTAGTTTATTTTATAATAAAAGTAGTATCAAATTTTTTCTAATTTAGTTTTTTGTATAAGAGGGTTAGCATTTTTTAATTTTTATTTGCCTTCTGATGCAAAGTCGAAATCACATTAATGATCTTCAGGCATTCTATGTTTATTACAAAATGTGAATTCACATTTACATTTCACTCCAAGGAGACCGACTTTTTTATTACAATTCCAACATTTATTAGAATCAACCTAATTTTTTTTTTATATTTAATATTTTTAATATAAATTTATATTTTTATTGACTTGCATTGGTTTTGTTTATTCTTTTTATTAATCTACTTCTTCTTTTTAATCTTTTATTAAATTTTCAGGTTATGTTTCTTTAGCTTATTTTTATTATAGATCTTCAGTTAATATTTTTATATTGTTTTAGCATGTATTTAAGGTTTATTATTAAGGATTGTTATTGCTTTTAACCATTTTTTATCTTTTTTTTAATTAATAGATTATATATTTGTATTTTTTTTTTTTCTACTTGTAACATGATGAACACAAGTTATCATTAGCAGGATTTCCATAAAATTATTAGCATACAGTGCATAATTTAGAAGAATTTTATTAAGTATTGTTACTCATTTTTTTGTTTTTTTTTCTTTTGTATAATGTGTTAGTTTTTTTTTTTTTAATTATTTATTATTTTTATTTTTTTTTTGCAAACTACTATTTAAAGAAAAAAATAAAATAAAGCTTTTTATTTTTTAGATCAGAAAGGAAAGAATTAATTGTCTAATTTAAAAAAAAATTCATAATTTTATATTAATGTTCTTTAAAAATAACCAATATTTTTCTATATTTCTAAAATTAAAAGAACAAATTTTAAAATTATAAAATATCTATAAAAAAATAAGAAAAATTATACTTTTAACAAAAGTAAAAAATAAATAAAAACAAAATAATTAGTTAACTAAAATTAACAAGAAAACAATATTTAAAATTCTAAAAAAAAATAAAAATATATAATTATAAAATCAAATATAAATAAAAGTACTTTAATATATATTTAAATTATAAATAGCATTTATAATTAATTTTAATTATTTATTTATTATATATTTGAAAATTTTAATATAAATGTTTATATTAAGATTATTAAATAGTTAATATTTTAAAAGTATTGTAGTAGTAATAATTAATTAATTTTATAAGTATAGTTTGTAATTTAAATTTTAAAAGTTATATTAATTAGATTATCGATTAATAATAAATAAATATTTTCCTCTTTTTTTATAATTTTAAATAATAAATTATTCACTTAAATCATTTAAATAAAAAAATATAAATTAAATTTTATCATTAAATAAAAATATTAAAAAAATAAATTTTAAATAAATAATTGTATTTTATATAATTAATTATAATATTAATAGTTAAAAAACGATAAGAAAAAAATTTATTTTTATAAAAATATTAAAAAATAATAAAAAATTAAATAAAAAAATAATAAAAATATTATTATAAAAAAAAAAAATATTAAAAATTAATAAATAATTCATCCAACACTTCTTTCATTATTAGGACAGCCATCAACTGTTAAATGAATTTTCCATCCTTACTATCCTGGTGGAATATCACTATGACATAAAACACATCTATTAGCAACATTGATGCCTTTAGCAGGTAAACAAGTTTTTTCATCAACATGTGTATTATATTCATCTACATGAACAGGTTCTTTACACCTTGGACATTTTCTAAATTTTCTCATTTAAGAACATTCTTCTAATAAATGAGATCCAAGAGATGAAATTTCTACTACTTAAGCGCAATATTTACAGACCATAAGCATAGGACATTCTTTCCATTAATGCATATCTAGTTTGATGGTATCAATGAATTGTTTATTAAAAACACCACAAAAATCACAGATTTTATTTGTGTCATCTTCATTACTATTAGTAAGATTATTATTATTATTTGTATTTTTATTTTTGTCATTACTATTATTTAAATTTCCTTAGGTTTCATTTTTTTTATTTCCTTTAATTTTGGCAGAAGGACCCTAATGCTAAATATTTGTAGAAACGATAACTTTATGTTCTTTTTATTATTTATTTTCTTATTTCTTTCCTCCTTAGAATTCTTCTTATAACAAGTCTAATTATTATTAAGGAACTTCAGCTAAAAAAGGATTTAATTTAGCCTCTCCGACACATTTATAGATTTCTACAAGTAATGAAATACTCGCATTTCTTACTTCTTAATTTGGATGCGAAAGTTATTTTACACTAAACTCTACGACAGGGTTTAAAGGGACTTCTTTGTTTCCTATTTGGTATTTTTTTACAAATTCTTGCAATATAACTAATCTTCCTTATATATGTTTTATTGAATTTTAAAGCTTTTATTTTAAACCAGTGCCTTTACATATGCAGTTTGTCACAAAAGCATTTCCTATGATGGAAACTTTTCCTAAAGCAAAAAGTGATTGTTGTGCACTTTCGCTTAATTTGGGAATATGTTGACCCAATTATTCTATTAATAAGCCTACACATCCATCTAAATATTACTATATATCCCCTTTTGTCGATTTAGGTATTGAATTTTGAGATTCACAAGCTGCCTGGAATAAATTCATTGAAGATTATAATACTTAAGCAACTCTATCACCTAGTGTAGCATTACAAACTCCACATATAGCAGTAAATATTTCTTAAGGATCTTTTGAGAGAAGTTTATCAGGATTCTAAAGCTCTTATCTGAGTTCTTATAATCCATCTTCTCTTAATTTCCAAACTTTAGAGAAAATCTTAGAAGCATAATCTTCTCCTATAACACCTATTAAAGGGTCTGCAAGTTTTCTGGCTTCATTAGTAAGCTTTTCAGGTTATTATTATTATTATTAAGGATTTGTGTTTTATTCAATATCAATATTTTCTTTTTTATATTAACTGTTTGGCTCATAAGCATCTTCTTATTCCCATGGTTTTTTTTAGTTTTAATTTTTGACTGCAGGAATGATTTATTCATCATGGTTTTAATTGGAAATATTTTTATTTTTTATATTATATTATTCTCCGATTTATTTTTAAATTACTAAATCTTGATATGGAGATTCTTCATCTTGTTAATCTTTTTAATAAATTTCTTGAGTAAAAACTATGTTTTTTTATGTTTAATATCTTATAAAAATATTTCATCTTTATTTTATTAAAATTATATATTTTAACTTGGCTATGATATTGGATCAAATTATTATTATTATAAAGGACTAATAATTATTTATTATTATTATTATTATTATTTTTATTATTATTATTATTATTATTATTATTATTATTATATTTGTTATTACTATAATTATATATAACTCCTCTGAAATTATTATTGTTAATTAGTTTAAGGGTAGTTGATTGGACCAGGTTTTTACAATATATATTCTGGTGCAATAGCATTTCTTAATCGCTCAATCTCAGCTTTTATAATTTTAGCACTCTCATAATCTTCATTCTATATGGCTATTTATTTTCTTTCATCTAATTATCTTTTTTTAATTTTTTAAATAAATTTCAAAAATATTTGAATATTAATTTTAAAATATTTAAAAAAATACCTTAATTATGTTCCTATTTATTTTAAACGTTCAATAGCGTCTTTTAAGCGTTTAGCTTCTTCAAAATCTTCATTTTAAACAGCTTATTCTTTAGCTGTTTCTAATGTACGAAGTCTATCTAATGTAATAGCATCATATTATGTTTAGTGTTATATTTAATTATAATATTATTTTTATTATTTATTATTTGTAGAATTTTATTATTAATTTGTTAATAATTCACCAAAGGCACTAAGTGCAATTATTCCAACCTTATGTTATAGAATTTAAAATAAGATAAATAAATATATATATATAAATATAAATTTAAAATTATAAATATATATATATATTTACATATTTATATATTTATATATTTATATATTCTTTTTACTTAATTAAACATATTATATTTGTTATTATGTTATTTATTAAAGATTAATTTTAAATATAAGCAAGGAGCATCTACATATACAGTTTTTAATTCTCTTGATTAATAACCTGTTCTTTCATTTGAATCTAATGATAAATATCCTAACTTTTTATATTTTATATCTGTATTTATAAATGGTGCATTTTAATTAGGCATATAAATGTATATTTCTATCCTTGAACTTATTTTGCTTTGATGTGATAAGAATTGCAATTATTTTAGACGTACTGGAGACATAAACTAGAATAATATTTCTTATGGATAATCACAAAAACGCGAAGATTACCATCCTTTTGATTAAGGGGACTATGTTAATAATTCCATTACTGGATTTGAAGGTTCTTCACTTGAACATGATAATATTCTATATGCTAATTTTTAACAATTTTAATTTTATGTATCTTGTTTAGACATTTAATTTTAATAAATATTTTTTTTTTAATGAAATAAGTTTATTTGTTATTTTTTTTAAAAAAAAATAAAACAAATTTTTTTTAAAAAAAATTTTATATAATATACATTTTTATATAAATAAATATAATATGTATTATAATAAATAAATTTTCATAATATTTTAATTAATATAATTATTATTTTTTTTGTTTAAATTATTAATAAATTAAATGCTTTATATGTATTTATAATTATCAATTTTATTTTTAAATAATTTATTTTTTCTATTTTAGGATTTTTTTTTTTCCACAACTCCCACAATATTTATGTTCTGGAATTTATCCTTACCCACAAAATCCACAAAATCCGTAGTTTTAATTATTTAATATTTCGTTATATTCACTTTTGATTTATTTAGTAAATTTACTACTTAGTTTTTTTTACATAAATCTTTTTGTTTTTTTAAAAATTGAATAGTTATTTATTAATTTAATTTTTATTACTTTGTATTTCCTGAAATTTCACATAAGGGTTTTGCTTTATTTATAATATTTTTACATATAGGAATATGCCTTAAAGCTGAATTTTTAGAAAACATTCTATTACAATAAGGACATTATGTTGAACTATAATTAACTACCCTTTTGTATACATCTTCATGGTTTTTTGTGTCCATTATATTATTTTTACCTATTATAATTATTTATTTATTTTTAAAAAATGTGTAGCTTATACTTTGAAATTTTTTTGATGTATAGTATTTTGAATCTATCTTTTATTTCTAATTAATATTAGGAAGTAATCCAGTAATACTTTTAAATTCTTAATTTTTATTTTTATTTGAAATCGTTCTTTTTTCTTATTATTATAAATTATTATTTTATTCAATACTTGCTCGATTTTCTTTTTATATTTATTAATCTTGATTATTTAAAGTCATTTAATTTTAATTAATTTATGAATTTTTAGGTGGTTTAGGTCTATTTATTATATTTTAACACAATGGAATATGTCTTTCAGCAGTATCTTTTTTTAAAACATAAAAAGTATTAATATTTTTTTTTTAAATACCTTTTGCAAACTTTCTATGACAAAATTTACATTAAATATAACCTAATAATTCTAAGTTAATTTAAGGTTTTAATATTTAAGTTGTATCTCCTCCTTCTTTCTATAACTTATTTATTTATAAATAATACATTTGATTAATAATTTATTATAAAATTATAATTTAATTTTATATTATTAAAATATATTATATATTTTATATATTATGAAAAACCTTATTTATTAACTTATTATATCTCATATTTTATATAAATTATTAATGTTCTATTTTCCATTTCGGCAGTTTTTTTTATATATTTTGCTCCTTTTAAATTTAATTTTTATGGTCCTTTTAAATTTCATTTTTTTGTTCTTCGTATTATTATATAGTTTTAGTTAGTATTTATTTTTATATTACTATTTCATTATTTGATTCTTAAGGTAACTTTATTAATTAAAAAAAAAAAATGGTTGATTTTTAAATATAATATTTAAAAATATATATTGCTCTTTTTGCTCTTGAATTAAAAATAGGTCTCAACTTTTAAGATTTTTAACATGCTTCTTCATGTTTCTATATTCTATTTTAAATAAATTTTCGTTTACAAATTTAACATTCAATTCTGTCATCAAAATTCTAATAATATTAAAAAGTAATAAATACAAAATAAAATATAAATATATATATTATTAAATGTAAAAATAGTTTAAATATGAAAAAAAAATCATATAAATTATAAAAATATTTTATATTTATTTTATATTGTAATTTTTTATAATCATTTTTACATTTTAAATAGAGGTAGTATTTATATTTTTATCAATATTATCATTTTAAGAGTTAATTTATTAAACAGGCTATTAAATAGAATCATAATTTAAAAACTCGTTAATTGATTAAATTTTGCTGTTATGATCTTATTTAAATTAAATTAATTTTATTCAGTTTTTTATTTATACTTTGTATCTCATTGTTTTAATATATCATATTATTTTTTGTTTATAGTAAATGCTTTAAATTAATATTATTAAAAATATATTTGTATTGAAAATATATTTTATATACATTTAAAAAGAAAAATAATTATTTAAATGATGTTAGAAATATTATAATATTTTATTTAAAAAAATATAATATAATTTTAATAAAGTAATTTTTTAAAAAAAAATACTAAAAAATTACATATTTAGTATAAAAAAAACTAAAAAATTTTATGAATGTATTTTTATACATAAAGTTTTTAAAATTTTTTTTTAAAAAATAAAAATAATAAAGTTACGTTAAATAAGAAATATATATTTTAAATATAAAAAAGTTTTATATAATAAAATTTTAATATTTTTATTTAAGGTAATTATGCTTTTTATTATATTTTTAAAATAAATTAAAATATTTTTAAAAATATATGAAAATTATAATCTAAATTATTTATCCAACTCACTTTAGTAATTATAGTAAATATATAAAATAAATATACAAAATAATTAAAAAGAAAAATATACTATATAAACTTTAAATATAAAAAAAAAAATTAGATAAATAAATATATATAGAATTAAGATAAATATATCTTGATAAATTGATAAATTATTTTGTAATAATTAAATTAAACTTTTTTAAAAAATAATAATCATTATTATTATAATAAAAATTATAATATTTAAAATTATAATTATTATAATATTATTATTATTTTTATAATTGTTATTATTATTAAATTATTATTATTATATTTATAATTATAATTTTTATTATTAATATATTATATTTTTAATATTAGTTTTATAATTTTTTTATAATATTTCATTATATTAATTATTTATTAAATAAATATTGTATAGCATATTATATTTTCACACAATTTATTATTATTATTATTATTATTATTATTATTATTATTATTATTATTATTTTTATTTGTATTATTATTACTTATAATTTTTTTTATTTATTATAATAATTATATATATATTTTTATATTTAAATATATATTTTTATAAATTTTTAAATACAATCTGTTTTTTTTATATATATTTATTATGTATAAAAATTAAAAAAATTGATTTAGAAAGATATGTTTTATTAAGATATTTTTTATTTATTTATAATAATTTTTTTATTGTAGTTTAAATTATATATTGTAATTAAAAATAAGTTATATATATTTTTAATATTTCAATATATATATATATATATTTTTATTTATTTAATATATTAAATATTTTATTTTTATTTAAAATTAATAAAATAATTTTTTCTTTAATATATTTTTTTTATAAATATTATTAATAATAATTTAAAAATATAATAATTTTATTTATAATAATAAATTGATCATTTTATTATAAAATATAAATATTTTTTAATTTTTTATTTATAAAATATTATATTTTATAATAATATCAATTATATATTTATTTGTTTTTTAATATTTAAATTTTTTTTTTTTATTATATTAGTTTATAAAAATATATACAATTACTTTTATTTAATATTAATTTTCGTTTAATATTTATATATATTGAATAAAATATAATTTTTGTTATATTTAATAATTTTATAAAAAATATTAATAAATGTATTTAATTTTTTTTTTAATATATTAATATATTAATATATTTATATATATATATATATTTATATATTTTGTATATATTTTTTTTTATATATAATATAAATTTTTATTAATTTTTTTTTTTCACTATTTTAAATTTTTTATTAACAAATTAAATATCAATAAATGTAAAACAAAAAATTTTATTTTTATAAAAAATAGAGAAATTAAGAAAGATTAAAAAACCTCATTTAACTTCTTCCTAAAAACATAAAAATAAATTAATATTTAGATATTGGATGTGGAAACGGAATTATATCAGCTTCAATAGGTAAATATTTTTAATTAAAGTAATTACATGGATTTGATATATTCAAAAAGGAAGATTTCAAATAACCATTTAATGATATTAAAATAAACTACATTTAAAACATAGATAATAAAATATAATTATAAAACAGATCTGTTGATTTAGTAACTTGTTTTATGTCTTTACATCATTTAGAAAATTTAAAAAAGTTTTAAAAGAAATATAAAGATGTATTAAAATTGGTGGTTTTTTATTTATTAGAGAACATAATGTGCATAAAAATGAATAAAATACATACTATTTTTTAAAGTAAATGCATGAAAAATATCCTGATCATTCTTAACAAAATTATTTGTAGTTTTATTCAAGGATTAGATTGAAAAAATTAATTATAAATCTGGGTTTTTGTCATATAAATGATTATTTTTATGAAGGAAATAATCCTTAAAAAATATATCATTCAATGTTTTAATATATCGGTACAAATTTAAATTAAGAATTAGATAATTTAATGATTAAATATTAATATTACTTAAACGAAGATTTATTAAATAAAGATAACTTTTATAATTACTGTAAATAATTAATGGAATATATATGAGATATTATATAAATAAGATATATTATTTACATATAAAAAAAATAAAATATTTATATTTAAAATTTAAATTAAAATAATAAAATTAAACCCATAAAATAAAAATATTTAATTATAAATAATATTAATATTTTATTAAAATAATATATATTAATGGAGGGTATGTGTTTAAGTTTGCGTTGAGGCTTAGATATATTAAAAAATGTTACTTGAAAAAGTAGCAAATATAAAAGAGCCTGAGAAGGTCTGAGTTGCCGTCAAATCGAAATGTTAATGCATGAAAGTGCAGAGGTGGCTACTAGAAAAAAAGCCCTTTATTAGGGAGTGGATAAAAGAGAGTATTTTGAATAATATTTATTCAATAATATTTGATATCCCATTAATTTACTTAATAAAGGTGTGTGGAATAGTCACTTGGCAGTGCATATTAAGTGCAATACGCGAATTTCTAAATTTAAATTTAGATAAATTCAATTCAGACTACTCTTGACACATATCCTTCCTACCCTTTTTTTGATTTTTATATATATATTTTTTTATTACAAATTTTATTTATAAATTTTTAATTTTTTTTTTTCTTTTAAACGATTTATTAGTTTTTGCATATTAAAGTTTTAAAAATATAGACTATTTAAGTATTATGTTTGTAATCTTATAAAATTATCATTAAATAGACATTTTAATCTTTGAAATTTAATATTTAAATATATTACTTGTTTTTTCTTTTTTAGTTAACTTAAAAAATTGCATTTTTTTTAAATGACTTAAAAACTAAAATCACACTATGTATTTCGAAAGTTTTAAGTAAAATATAAAATGAAAGCTATAAATTATTGTTTAAAAAAAACAAACTTTATAATTTTGAAATTCAAATATTTTTAAAGTTAAATACATAAAAATCAAAATAAATAATTAGTATTAAAATCAATGATTGTGTAAATATCTTAATTTATTCAAAGAAAATATTAAACTCAATATTTTTAATATAATATAATTAAAAAGTTAAATATAAGTCTAGTTTTAATAATCTAAATACTATAAATAAATTTTTAAAATATAGAACAAAAAGTTAAGCAATATAAAACACTTAAAATTAAAATGATCTGATTAATTAAATATATTTATTTGTTTTAAAAAACGTATTTTTTTATTTCAAAAATAAAATTTATAGAAAATATTCAATTATTTTATAATCAAATGAAGATGATAATCAAACATATTTTTAAGTAATTTAATAATATTATTTAAACAGAATAAACATATCTAAATATATTGCTAATTTAATAATATTTATATAGTAAATCAAAACAAAATAAATGTTTAGGTTATTCATATGATAATATTTTTATATAAGATTATATATTTAATTATTTTTTATTTAATATATTTCATAAAAAAAAGAGATGAACAATAAATTATTATTCAAATATTAGTAAATAATAAAATTCTATAGAATAAATAAATTTATATATATATTATATAAATATATATATATATATATATATTACATAAGTACAAATTTAATTTTTTTTTTTATAAGTTAAATGTAGAAACAAATGTATGTTAACTTCAAAATTATTTAGATAAGATGATCGAAATATACAAAATATTATATTAATTTTAATAAAATCATCACTAAAATATATTAAACTTAAATAGTTCTGATTAAACTATGAAGATTTGAAATTTTTTTATATAATTATTAAATATTTTAATCTGATTTTATACTTAATCTTTTTTTAAAAAAATCAGTATTTTACACCAATAAATCAATTAGTAAAAAATTAAAATAACTTAAAAAAATAGATTAATATTAAAGTTAATAAAAATTATAAGACTATTAAAGAAGAAGAGTTTTATATATATTAATTAATTTACTTTATATTAGATAATGAACTATATATTAAAAATATATATATATATATAATTAAATTTTTATTAAATACAGAATAAATTATATATTATTATAATTAAATTATTTTTTTTATAATATAATATTTGTAAAATTTATTTTACATATTCATATTTTCATTTTTTTTATAATTCTTCTATAATTTTTTACTATTTTTATTTTTAAATGAAATAAATTTTTAAATTTATATTAATAAAAATGTACTTTTTTCAAATTTTTAGAAGGAAGCTTTTTGCTAAATTCTTTTATATTTTTATTATGATTTACTTTAATTAATCTACTTACTTTTTAATTACAAATATTTAATTTAGTAGATTAACAAGATTGTAAATTTAAAAGAACTGATTCTTAAAATGCTTATAAATTATTTGTAAATATTTTTTCTTAATTATTAATTTTTTAAATGAGACTTTCTTTGTTTGAAGAATACTTTTTTTTGTGATTTTCAGCAAAAATATTCATATCATCCTCATCAAATACTAAATATATTAAATTAAATTAAATTAAATTAAATTAAATTAAATTAAATTAAATTAAATTAAATTAAATATATATACTTAGTTGAAAAGTATTCCTATTAATAAATAATACAAAAGTTTCATCAGCCGCATCTACTGTTTCAGTTCTTACATCATCTTTATTTCTTATCATTAAGTCATAATATCCAGCAATATCTCCAGATTTAAAATCAATAGTACATTAATACTTCTTTTTATAAATATGACTTTCCCATTAGCTTATTCCTACAGATTATATTGGCCATTTATTCTTTTTTTCTAAAACAATATTAAGTACTTTTATTAAATGTCCACTTTTTACTATATAAAAATTATCTATAGAATTTCCTTCCTTATATAAACATTCTTTTGGAGCCAAAAATTTTCCTTTATTTCTTGACATAAACGTTCTATTTTTTATGTACTAAAATGCCTAAAAAAAGATAAATTTGATATGAATTCTAAAATATTAACTTTTTCATTTTAAACTGCTCTCTTTAATTTTAATTTTTTAATTTTTTTTTTTTAATTTTTTTTTATAATACTGTTAAACATTATGAATAATCCATTTTGTTTAAAGTTAAAATATGACAAGGGACCTTTACTCTCACATCAGCATTTCTTTAATAATATATTTTTTTATTTTTACTTTTTTTATTTTATATATACCTTGGTTTATCTTCTTCTAATGCTGTTCTACCAACTAACTCTCCAGAATAAAAAAATTTGTTTATTGAAAACCCATTAATTAATATCTCTACTTATCCTTTAAATATTATAAACATACAGTCACCTTAATCACCCTATTTACATACTTTTTAATATATATTTTTCATAATTTATATTAAATTTTAGAAAAAGAATTATTAAAAAAATTACAGTATTATCCAACGTTATAAAAACAATACTTTAATCTTGAAGATATTAACTCAAGCATATGATAAGGCATAAGTTTAAAAAAAGGTAATTTTTATAAAAACATGCATATAATATCTTTTTCAAATTAGCTACGATTAAAAGGTCTTTTTTATATATTTATTTATTATATTAAATAAAAACAAAAATGTTTATATTTATACTCATTTTTGCAAATAGAAATAATTTTATTATTCATATCAAATTCTTCTGTCTGTTTAAGATTTTAATAATTTTTATTTCTTACAAGCCAAAGAGGGAAAGGTGATTTATAAGTGAAATTTTAAAAAATTTAAATTTCTTTTACTTAAAATTCAGAGTTTTAACCATTTTTATTTTATTACTTTTTTTTATTTCTAATAGCTTCCAAAAGCATCTAACCAAAAAACGTCTATTTTTTTTAAAATAAATCAGTATTGCTTTATTTCAAGCTTTAAGCATTATTAATACTTTCATTATTTAAATTAGCTTACTTTATTTTGTTTTTAAAGTATGATATAGAAGGTTTTTATTATGCAGATTTTATTCTTCCTAATTTACTTGAAAATGATTTTTCGAATTATTTTAAGTTTGCACTTTGTATACGTTTTTTGTGGTTTAGATATATGTATTTATGTATGTCTTTTTCTTCATTTTCTATATTTATGCTATTTTTTTTCAAAGCATTTTATTTTACAACTTTATTTACAAATGCCTTTTTATTTTTTATTTATTTATTGTATTTTTTATTTATTTATACTGTTATTTATTATTCCATCCTTTTCTTTTTTTAACTTTTAAATTCTGAATAGAAGTTTATTGTACTACTAGATATTCGAAATTAATTTAACTTTTATTATTCATTTTTTGTAAATATAGGATTTTATTAAAATATAATTTCCATCTCTTTATTTGATAATCCTGTATAAGGTCTTACCAACTAATATTCATTTGTTTATTTTTCAAAATATGGCTATTGATTTTAATAATATTATATTTCTAATTTTTATTATTTTCCTTGAAGGCACTTTATATTAAAAATATTTTTTTTTATTTTTTTTTATTTTTATTTTTATAAACGCTTTGTATATCTTTTTAAACTGTTTCATATATTTATTGTGTTTATTACAAATTGTTTAAAGTTTAATTTATTTGTTTTTAGCTTAATAAAAAATTTTAATTTTACTCTTTTTCTAATTTTATTTTTAAATATTATTAAAATGTTGTTAGGTTTTAATTTTCTCCTTGTTTTATTTGCAATTTTAGTTTCTATTTTTTTTTATTTTTAATTTAATTTATACTATTAAGCTTTAATTTTTTTGTTGATACTTAAGAATCTTCGTTAATCATTTTTTTATCAAAGAAATAAAAATGTTTTTTACTTTTTTAAATAAGCAAAGTTTTAAAATTATTTTCAAAATTTAATATTAAATAAAAACATATATTATTAATAAGATTTTATTTATTTTCAAATAAATAATATAATGTGCATATAATTTTATAAAATAATTACTATATACTTTTTTTTATAATATTCAAATAGAATTTTTAATAATCTTTTATATTTTTTTTTTAAGATTTAATTATAAATTATAAAAAATATAAGTCTTTTAATTATTTTTAAATTTTTAATAAAATATAGTCTTTTTTACTTATTATAATTAGATTTTATTTTTATGTCTTTTATTAAAATAAAATTTCTTTTCAAAATAAATAAATTTTATTATAATTCTTTAATATCAGTTTTTAATAACGTAGATATTTTTTCTTTAAAGTATATGTATATTTTTTTAAAAAATAATATAGAATTAGTTATTTAATAATTATATAAAAAATTATTAAAATAAAAAAAAATCAAATTCAAAAGAATTTATTGAATGTTTTGTAATAAATATAATAAACAATATCAATAATTAAAAAATATTTAATTTTTTAAGGTCTTGATTTTTGTGCTATAATTTCATTTTTAGGTGTATTATTTTTGGTATTTATAAATTGATTAAAAAACAAATAAATAAAAAACTGCATATAATAAAATATTGATATTTAATATAAAATTATTTTTAAAGAGTATACTTGGTTTAATAGTAGCTTCAGGCACTAGATTTATTAATTGGGAATTACAAGATAGAAATGCAACAAAAACATCACTTTTTTTATCAGCAGCAGTATATCTTTAAATTAAAAATAATATTTTTATTTTATTATTTATTTAGTTTTACTTACTTTGTTTTATTCTCTGTTTAGCATATAAGTTTTATAAATAAAAAAGATAAGAAAACGAAGAAAATTAAAAAATTAAAAGAGGTAGGATGATATCGGGAGAATCTTATAGTTTATAATAAGATAGAAATTAATTATAAATATAATGAAAAAAAAAAAAAGAATAAATAATATACTATTTGTTATTAATTATTTTTCCCAGCAATTTTTTTAAAAAAATTCAATTAATAAAAAAAAAAACGAGAAATATTGGATAATATGTGTGTGTTTTTTTTTTTATTAAGTTTTTTAAAAATAATAAATGAAAATAAAATAAAATAATCTAAACACAAGTTATTTATAATTTAATACTTTTAATAAGAAATCATATTAATAAATAGTCAATAAAATATATTGTTTATTAGTAATTATTTCTGTAAATTTTTTAAAAAACTAAAAAAAAAAAGGACTTTATCTATTTTTTTAATAGATTAAGTTTTTTTTTTATTTATAAAAAAATAAAGAATAAAATAATATATAAATATAAATAAAGTGGTTATTATAAAAAAGAAAAAAAATCAAACTAAAACTATGTCAAGTTTATTAACTTTTAAATCAAGCAAATTTTAATAAACGTTTTTATTTAAATTAGGTGGTCCACAAACAAAAGCTCTTTTTGTATTTTAAATATTAATATTATTAACCAAAAACTATTTGCTAAAATTGCAAAAACCTTATTCAATAAAGGGAAATTAATCTTTTAAATTAATATTATTAGAAACTTTAATTATACAAGAGAAAATATTTAACTTATTTTCTTTTTCTATTTACATCATTTAATTTATTAATTGAATGCTTTCGTAACTTTCTCCAACATTTTAGAAAGATGCTAATAATTTTACTTTGAAATCTTTATGTATGTTTTCTTCGTAATTTTCATTATTTAAATTAATTTATTAATGCAATTTAGGGTTAATGAATTTTTATTTCAAGCTTTTATATATCATATATTTAAATAAATAATCCAATAAATCATAGAAAGGTAAAATCCCTGTTCCTCCGCAAATAAATACATGTAAACCTTAAGTTCGATTACTTAATTCTAATCCTCTGCCCTATAATTAAAATTTATCGAAAACAAATTTATATATAATAATATTTATATTAAATTACATAAGGTCCTCTTATATAAAATTAGTCAACATTCTCATGAATATATTAAGAAAATCCTTTTTAAGACTTATACTTTTTGATAACTAAATTAAATAAATTATCATTTTTATAAGATTCTAGCAAGTTATAATTAAATTGAACTTCTTCTTATTAATTTTACATAATATTTATATAATTATTAAATAATTATTTTCTTAATTCCTTTCCATAATCACTGAAAGAAATAACATTACTATACTATCTAGTACTTCTTTTATATTAGCTATCATTTAAGTACGAAATGTCTTCCAATCCATTACATTCCCGAGAAAACTTTATTGATTTTTAAATTATTGTCCTCATTTTTAAAATAGAATAGAGAAGAAAAATTATCTAAGTTTGTTTACTTAAGCACTTTCCATTTCGTTTATTCGGAATAATTACTTGAGAAAACATTTATGTTTTATATTTCTCCTATATAATATTAATCTAACATTTTAAAAGCATATTTAGAATGATCATAAGATTACATATTTGTAGTTTCCAAACCAAAAGCTCCGTACATAAAACGACCTATTTCTCTTCCTTTTATTTACATCATTAAAAAATTTCCACCAGGGTGATTTACTTTTGCAATATCGTAAATTTTATTATCGTATAATACTAATATCATATTGTTATACAATTTTATGATTCCTTTAGACGTTATACTAAAATCATTTATTATGTTTTTTATTTCTTCAAATATTTGTTGTTTTGTTAAAAGTATTGTTCTCTTTTCTTCAAGGTCTTTTAGTTTTTGATATTATTTATTTCTTAATGCAAGTATCTTTGTAAATAAATTAGGTTTAAATATGAAAAAGTATTCAGCTAATATTCTCAAAAGTATCAAAGTTGAAAATAGAATATAACAAATATTTCTTTTGTATGTTTGTTTTTTAATATATTTTATAAAAAATTTATTTAATCTTACATTACATATTAATCTTCAATTAATATAAATCCTGTAAGAACACCTGCTTTTCCAGCAAAATAAAGCATATATCCAAAAATCTTTAAATTAAATATATGAATTATAAATTAAAGAATTTTTTTTTTATTAAATTACTTAATGAAATAGCTTATAATAGTAAGAATATTTATTCATTTTAAACTATTCTCTTGAAAATATTAAATACAATACATATCCACCAATAACTTATAATATAAACAAAATCATAAAAATAAATCCCAATAAGAAATGCAATATTTAAATTTATGATAAAGTTGAATATCTAATAAAAATTTTAGGGTCTTTAATTTTTTTTATTTATATTTTTTAAAAATAAAATAAACAGATATAAAAATATTTACTTTTCACCAAAACAATCATTTCAACTATAAAAGTAGTAGTACAAACCAAAAGCATAATATATCCATGTATTTAAATATAGTATTTTTTAGTTTTAAAAAATCTTGCTGCACAGTTTCCTAAATCTACAAGAATTCCCCACATTGCAAAATTAACCCAAAAATGAAATAGTTTAATTAAACTTGGGGATTCATTTTTCCATCCTATTCCACTACCATGATAACCATTTTAGAATGGAAATTATACTTTTCCTTATTTTATTATAGAACTTGATTCATTCATTATTTAATATTCTATCCATACAATTTCATTTTATTTATATATTTTATCAAATGGATCGTTTGTATTTAATAATCTTTTAAAGATGCAATATTACTATGTTTATTCTATTAATATAAGATTATTTTTACCACCCAAATCTTCGTCATTTATTTATATTTTGTCAACTAAATAAGCATCTATTAAAACTAAATCCTTTTATTAAGCTTAACTTATTAAGATTCCTAAAAAGTCTTTATCCGATTCTTCACCTGTTAGTATTCGGAAGAAAAAGGAATTACTTAAGTTATATTCAATCTTAAATGTTATTGATTCTTCATCAAATAACCAACAAAAGTTTATTTTATTTTTTTTAAGAACTAAGCAAGATTGATTATTAGAAACAGAATATGCAAAATTTAAAAATATGTATATAAATAAATAAATTAATTTCATTTTTATTTTTTATTTTTTTAATAATTATATTTTTCTTGTTTATATTCTTTTTTTTTTTTTAGATTAAATAAGGCTTTTAAAATATTAAGCATGTTTTGCTTACAATTATTGAGCAAAAGCAGTTAAATAAAATAAATAAAAAATAAATATATAAGTGTAAATAATTAGATTTTATAAGATAAAATTTTAACATATATTAATTTTAATTAATTATTATAGTAAAATAATATCTTAGATTTATTAAAAAATTTTATATTTATTGTAAATGGTAAGAAAATATCAGAATTTTTATATTATTTTTTATTTCAGAAAAAACTTTTTTAAGTCATATTAAATTATACTTTGCAAATTTAAATGTATTAAATTTCAATATTGATAATTATATTTTTATTTAATTATTAATAATATATTATAAAAATTATTCTTTATATTATTTTAATTATAATTTTTTTTTTATTTTTTTTTTTTAGTACTGAATTAATAATAAGATTTAAGATTTAATTTGTTTGTTTTCAAAAAAATATAATGATATTTATAAGATTAAACATAAATATATAATTATTTATTAATTTCTTTATATTTTTATAGATTTTATTATTAACTTTTAAAATATATAATGTGAAACTTATTAGAAATTAGAAAAAAATGCAAAATAAATACAATTACAATAACTATAGAGTAATAGAATAATTTATATACTAACTATTTATTAAAATAAAATAAAATAATATTATAATAATTAAATAAAATTACATTATTTATAATAATTTTGTTTATATTTTCTTAATTTAATATATTATTTTAAATATAAAAGAAATTATATTACATTTATTATAAGAATTTTTTTTTTTTAAATTTAAAAATAAAGAATATGGGATTTAAAAAATTATTATACAAAATTATTTCAATTAAATTTAAATTCATTCTTCCTTTAAATAATTTTATTATTGTAAAAATTATAATTTAATAACCTTTATGTATTTAGACTATATTTAAGTTTATTTTATAAATATTTTCGAATTGTTTATATATCTTATTTATTATTAAATATCTATATTTTTTATTACTATTTTTTATATTATGTTTTATTAAATTTATAATCATTTTTTTAATATATATTATTTTTATCTTTATCGTTAATTTCTTATATTAATTAAATTGATTTTTAGAAATTGTCTTATAAATTTACATTAAGAATACTTATATTCTTTTAAAAGCTTAACTTTTTAATATTTATTATATCAGTAGATGAATTTTTTTTAGTACTATTATAATAATTTTTAATATATATATATAACATATAAAAAATATATAAAAATATATATATAATATATATATATATATATTTCAATAAAAATTTTAATAAATTTACTTTTATTAAATTTTAAAATCCGACAAATTATATTATTATTATTAATTTTCAGTTTTTAATTATTAAAGTTTACTAATGGAAGCTTTAAAATTACAAGGTTAAACATTATTTAAAATTTTTGGATTACTTTTCTAAAAAAATATACTATTATTTTTAGGTTTCAATGTAAAATTACTAGAAAATATTAAGCTTTTTCCGGAATTAACATTCGTTTTTATTGGTGAATTTGATTTAGTATAATCATCTTTCTTGGCATTTTATGTTCTATATTTATAATCTATTTATTAATATTTATTTAATTAACCACCACATAATACACAATGACATGATTTTCTTCTAATTTAAATTATTATATTTGATTAAGCCTCGTTTGTTTTAATTTTATCTATATGAGAAAAGCTGTTTATTAATCTTTTGCTTTTTTCTTTTTGCAAAAATAAGTTATTTGAATTTTTAACTCTAGAAAGAAAATATGAATTATTTTTATAATCTAGAACTTAATCTATAACTAATATTTTATTTAAAGAAATCGATTTTACTTGTTTTTATTTTTTTGATATCAATTAGTATTCGTTTTCTTCAATGTTACTTTTTATAATTTTTTGTTATTTTTTTTCAGAAATTTAACTATATTTTATTCTCCTAATAAATTGATTTTATGAATTAGATTTTTTTCTTTAAAAAAAGGATTAAGAAGATTTTTATTTTTAATAAATTTATGCATTTTCATTTTAATATTCTTTATTTTATACTTCTTATTTATTACTATATACTGAATCTTATTTTTTAATAAATTTGTTTATTTAGTTTTCAGGTTTTTATTCTTATTATTTAACAATGTATTTTTAATAATCATATAAACCACTATATTATGGAGCAAAAGGAGTTATTATTTATTTGGAAATTAAATTCCATAAATTATCATTTGGGGTTTTATATGTCTACAAAAAAGGATTTATAAAATTTTCTTTTTTATTTTATAATGTATTTCCAAAAAAAAAAAAATAATTACAAGAAATATGTAAAGAAGAATTTTATTAGATTTAGATTTAAGAATTTTTTTAATTTTCGAATATTAAAATTGTATTTCTTCCTAATTTCTGTTTATTTTATTATTTTAAAAATTTTTATAAAAATATTTGAATAAATAAATACAATTGGTTACTATTATTGTTATTCTTTTTTTTTCATTTTTTTAATAAGTTTCTGTAAAATTGTATATATGTAAAAAAATAAAGAAATATTTTAAATTTTTTAAAAAAATTATATATAATCATATAAAGTTAAATATTTATAAAATAAATATGCATATATATATATATATATATATATATATTTCTATTATTATTAAATTATTTAGCAAATTTTTTTTTAATATATAATTATTAATAAATTACTTAAATTTTTTTTATTAAAATAATTAAAAATAAAAGAAAGAAAAAAAAACTAAATATAAAAATTAAATAATATAAATAATTTATATCGATTAAAAAAAAATAATGTGTAAAATATTAATAATTAATTTGAAAAAATTAGTATTATGCAAATTTTAAAATGAATATATTTTTTTTTTATAAATATATCACATTTCAAATAATAATTATAATAGTATTTTTTATTTTTTTTATAAAAATAATTTAAAAAATTCTTAATATATATATTTATATTAATTATTAAATTCAATTCTTTTGATTATTTAAATTTTAATTCTATTAAAAATATATACATTTCTAACATTCAGTAGAACCAGGTTCATTTATATATCTACATTATTAACATTACCATTTTTTATAATTTTATTCATTTTATTATTATTCATCTAAACCTTCTTATGTTTCATCTAATCTTATACCATTTTTAAAATTATGGAAGAAATTTTTTTATTTTTTTTGCTAAGGTAAGCTTTATTGATGTTGTTATTATTTTTAATTTTATTTCGCTTTAACATTATTTATTACTTAAGTTCCTGATCTATTTGATTAAAGTCTAGATGTTCCAAAATTTGAGTTCATATAAATATAATTTAAAAAAATTATGAATTTTATTTTTCTACCTTTTATTTATTATTTTTTTAAAATATATAATTTAATATTATATTTTTTTTTAGTATAGAAAAATAATATTAATTTTTTATTTTTTCTTAATTAAAATATTTTTTATATTTAAAAATTTTTAAATAATTTTTTTTTTAATACTAAAATTAAATTTATTAAATTATACTTATTATTATATAGAGAAATTTATATAATTTTTTTTTTATTTTTTTCTTAAAAAAATATATATTTTCTAAATATTATTCCAAAATTATTTATATTTTATAAAATTAATATATTTATAAATATTCTAACAACTTTATATTAACTTTTATATTAATAAATATTTTTTTTATTATTTATAAATATTCTTTTACATTATTTATTTTATTAAAAAAAAAAAAAGAACTTATATAATAATTAACAAAAGAAAAAATATATAATAATTATTAAAAAAAAAATAACAAATAAATTTCCAATATATATATATATATATATATTTATTATTAATTTTATTTTTTTCTTCTAATATGATTTTTTAAAAAAAATCATTAATCGTTCCAACTTAATTCGACAATTTCTTTTACACGTCTTATATATTCTTTTCTATCTTCCATATATAATTTTGCCGCTTCTCCATTAGCAGGAGAATTTGGATTAGGATCACAGAGCAAAGATCTAATTGAAGTTAAAATTGCCCAAACATCATAAATTGGACTCCATTAATTTTAAAGTATATCTAAACATATTGATCCGTCATTATATACGTTTGGGTGGAAAATTTTAGTTCTGAATTTTACTACAGGAGGTTTATTTGGATAATCTTCAGTAAATTCTAAGGTTAATCTAAATGTTGCTCCTTCCCATGGTGTATCTTCTGGACCGAATATAACAGCGTCCCAATTCATTATATTATCTTCAATTGGTGTTGCTGTTAATCCATTTGGTGGATCATCTTAAAGTTTTTTAAAATCTCGAAGTAATCTTCTTTTACAAGCCTACATATAAATATTATAAGTATTTTTATATATAATTATGTATTTTTTTTTATTAAAAATTATTATTTGATTTATATATTTTTTTTTTAAAGTGAATTTTTTTTGATTGTATTATTTAATTTATAAACATTTTTTATGTCAAAAAAAATATTTAGAATGAAACAATAAATTTTTTATATTTTTTAAAATAAATATTTCACAAATAATTTATTTTTTTGTTTTCATTAAAAATGTTTGTTTTTGATAAAATTTTATAAGAAAAATTAGTAGTGCTAAAAATAAATTTAAATTACTATATAAAAAATTAAAATTAAAACAAAAATATATAAAATAATAAAAATAAAAAAAGTATAAATATAATTCATAAAAAAAAAAATAAAAAAAAAAAAAATCATTAAAAAACATTTTAATTATTATATTTATAATTATTAAAATCAATATATAATAATTTATTTAAAGAATAAAAGAAAATAATAAAATGCATTTATGATAATACATATAAATTAAAAAAAGAATTTTATATAGATAAATAATTATAAAAATTATATATATATAAATAATATTTTAAAATTTATAAATATAAATATATATATTATATATATATATTTATATATTTATATATTATTTTTTATATATGTAAAAAAATATTTTTAATACTTTTTATAGCCTTTTATTTTATATTAATTAATATACTATTTTTTTTAATCATTTATTTTAATTATTATTTTCTTACATGTTATCATTTTATTATAGTTGTTTGTAATCTTCACTATTATATTTCATTATACTTTTTGTTTCTTCTGAAAAGAAGTTTTTTTCTTCTAATTCTTTTTATGAACTTATTAATTCATTTTAAGCTTGTTATAAAATATTATTTGATAATCCAAAATATTTCATTACATCATATAATACATAATTTTGAAAATAAGGATCAAATTTTATTGTATTGTCAATAATTTTACCTTATATTTATGCGTAACCTCTTATATATTCTATTGGATGATAAAAACCACTACTAATGAAAGCTCCTGTAAAATAAAGACTTAAAAAGGCAATTGATTATAATGTGCCATATTTAAAAATTTCTAATATACTATAGTGTTTTGGTTTGTAAAATTATTTAGCAAACTTTTTGTAGTTTAATGTCCAATACATAGTTAATCCACAAAAAACAAGATTATATACACCAAATGATATTTTTCTATTTGTTGGAATATGATGATCTTTCCATTTAGTCATTAATACATTTAATTCATCTTCAGTTAAGTTATCTATATTTTCAATTGTTATATGATTATTATTTGATTATGTTGTTTAATTTTACATTTTTAATTTTTTTATTATTAAATATTTTATATCTTTATTTTTATATATTTATTAATTAATATATTTTTTTTTTTATTTTTTTTGAATAATATATTTTTTTCAAATATTAATTTTTTATGTTAGTTCGTCAATTTTTTTATGAGCTTCTAAAATTGAAATTTTATTAATTTATTTTTCTTTTATATATTATTTTTCGCTTTCCTATATTATTTATTTATATTTAAAAATCTCCTATTTTTATTATTCAATAGTATATAAGCATTTCTCTAATTCTTTAAAAGTATTATCTTTATAAAATATTCCGTTCCTTAAAGCAATATTTTCATTTAATAATTTTGTATTTTTTGTATTAAGATTAATATTATCCTCTTTTAACTTTTCATTCTATTTTTTTTTTTTTTAAATAAAATAAAAATATAAAATATAATGATTACTTCGTTCAGTATAATTATGTATTTGTTTAAACTTTCATCATTTTATTTGTTTAATTCAATAATTTTCTCTTTTAATTTAATTACTTATTTTTTATATTATTAAACTTTATTTAAAGCATCTTCATTATTTTCATTATTAATAAATCCAAACTATCGTTAAGAAATTCCAATTTTTTCTTTTAAGTTTATAGCCTCCTTATATTAATTAATAAGTTCTTCTTGATTTTTAATATTTGTTTTAAAAGATTAGATTTCTTTTTCTTTAAGTTACATTTATTTTTCATTTTCTTAATGAATTTAATCAATGCTTTAAATAAAGTTTTTGATTTTTTCTGTATAATTATTTTTGAATTATTCAAATTTTATATTCATTTGTTAAATTTAGCCTTTATATTCATTTAATTCTTATTCGGAATTTTTTAAGGCTTATTTAATATTAAAATTTTCATTTTCTGCTTAATTTAAAAGTTATTTTTTTTCTTAATTTATAAATTCAAGTTGATGCAATTTTTGGGCTATTTTTTATACGTTTTCTTCTTATATTTTAATTTGTTCTTCTAAATATTAACATTTTTGTTCGCTTTATTTATTTGTTTATAGTTCTTATATTTATTAATTCAAATATTCAATTTTCGTTTCAAATTAACATATTTCATTTATTCTTTGAGTTTATTAAGTTTCTAATTCTACAAATATTTGTTTAGATATTGTAAAAAAAGTGCTTTCTGGTAATAAATTTCTTGATAATTAGTTATTTTTTTGGTATATTTTTTACCATATTTATTCGATTATATTATCTTTTAATCTATTGCATTAAGATAACCATTCATTTACACAAAAAACGTTTTTTGAGTTTATTTTATAGTCTAATGTTTATAGTACTTCACATCCTCTTTAATAATCGCAATTATTTTTAAATGCTATATCAAGATTTTCATTTATGTCTTACCAATTAAAATCTTGATCATTATTTTATTTTAGCTCTAATTTATTTTATAGGTTTGTATACTTATCTAATAATTATTGGTATTCTTATTAACATTATTCATGGCTATATATACGATCTGATGGATATTATTAGTCTAATGCATCGTATAATTCGATTACTTTTGTTCCGTACATTTTGATTTAGAATATTAAAGATTCTATTAAATGCTTTTCATTCTTTTTTTATATTTTTTTTATATTTTTGTTTTTTTTTTTTTTATTAATTTACATTTATTTAAGAAGGAATAATTGAAGGTAAACCTTCATTTAGTTAATTTATATATTTCTATATTTAAAAAAAATCTTCATCAAGCATGTTTTTATATTATTAATTCATTTTTTTATTTTTATTTTTTTCTGTTTTTATTTTTTTAAAAAACTTGTGTTAATTTGATTATTTATTTTTAAATATCAATAATAAATAAATATATAAAGGATAAATTTAATATAAAAATTTAAGTTTTTAAATTATTTTGTAATATAATAAATTACTTATTAATAATGAAATTATATAAAATGATTATTAAATTTAAATTTTTATGTATAATTCCTTAATTATTAATATCAATTGTATTTGATTTATATTTTTATATTAAAAATTTACTTTTAAAAAAACAATTATTAATAGTAAAATAATATAAAAATATAAAAATTATTTTAAAATACTTATTACTAATTATATAATAATTAATCTAAAAAAAATAAAAAATAATAAATTAAATTACTTTTAAAAATATAAAAATGTCATTATAAATAATATATAACTAAAAATAATAATCAGAAATTTATATGTAATCAATTTATATTAATAATTTTATTTTAATAATACTATTTTTTCAGTTAAAATTGTTGACTAAAATATCGGACTGAATTCACTTTATTTACATTAATATAAGTCTGTGATATTTATATGTAATAATAATTAATAATAAAATGTTTGAATTATTTATTTATATAACATTATTATATAGTCTTAATAGATTATATTTTTTTATCACATATATAAAAACATATAATTTAATAAACATATGCCTAATTTATATATATTTTTTACAATTAATTTTCTAATATATGTATATTTAAATTTAAATAAAAGAAATATTTTTTATTGTTATTTTATTATTTTTAATTTTTTTTTTAAAAAAAAATTCAAATATTATATAAAAAATAAAAAAATATTTTAAAAAATAAATAAAAATTTTTAAAAAACATTTAAAAATAAAAAAAAATTAAAATTAATAATATTTAAAAATTAATATTTTTTATATAATTATATTTATATTCGTTAGTAGTAATTATTTTAAAAATACATTTCAATTTATTAATAATTAATTCATTAAAAAAAAAAGACTTAAAAGTAAAAAAACAAAAAACTCATAGTTCTAAAAATAAATATTTCCTATTAAAAATGTTTAAACTATCTTTCTAATCATCTCATTCTAATTAAAATGTAGATCTAAACAATTTAAATTTATCCAAACAATAAACTATAAATGTAAAATAAAAAAATATTATATTTATTTTAATAAAAAACAATCTTTTAAAATAAAAAAGTTATAAATATAAAATTCTTCTAATAATGAAAATAATAACCAACCATAAAATGTCTAAACCATATAAAACTTTATATTAGTAAAAAATAATGTATCTTGCACTTCTTTAGAGGTATTTGAAAATAAAGAAAACTATTATAAAAGTAATCCAGAAAAATCTACAAGTAATAAAATGATAGAGAAAGAAATGAAACATTATTAAAATAATGAAGAAGAATTATCTAATTAATAATAATATAAATAATTAGAATCTACAACTTCATCAAATTTAATATAATTAGATTAATAAGAAGAAGAATATGAATAAAATATAAAAAAATAAAAAGAAAATAATAATAATAAAAAATAAATTACTGAAAATAAATAATAAATAATTGAATAAAAAAATAAAAATAATTATATATCTAATAATAATAAATTAAAAATCTGTAATTGTAAAAAAACTAAATGCTTAAAATTATATTGTGAATGCTTTGCAAATGGAGAATATTGCAGTACATAATGTAAATGTTTTTCTTGTTGTAATAATTAAGAAAATGGTGAATTAAGGAATTAAATATTTGAATAAATAATAGAAAAAAATAAATAATAATAATAATATTAATAAAATATAAATATAAATTAAACAGAAATAAATAACAATATATAATAATAATAATAATAATAATAATAATAATAATAATAATAATAATAATAATAAATACAATTATTAAATGTAAGAAGTTCCAAAAAATTAGGATGTAATTGTAAAAGAACTGGTTGTTTAAAAAAATATTGCTAATGCTATTAAAATGGAATCGAATGTGGGAAAAATTGCTTATGCACTGAATGTGAGAATTGTAAAGAAAAAGGAGAAAAAAAATAAGAACAAAATTCTTTTAAACCAAAAATAGAAAAACTCACTAAAAAAAAACTCTAAAAATTAAACAAATAAAATAATAATAATAATAATATTGGGTTAGATTAATAGACTTCTTAAATTTTACTTACTTAACTTCTTACTAATATGATTATTCAATAAAATAATCTAATTAATAATCCATTATTATAATTTAACAATTTATGTTAATCTTTATAATTTATTGTTGATTAAAATAATAAATAAAACGAATAATAATAATAATAATAAACATAATAATAGTAGACTTAGGATAATGGTGAGTTGCAAAAATTATTATTATAAATAATTGATAATAATTAAAATTAGTGAAAAAATATTAATATATAAATGATAGTTTATTCATATATATTCTTTTATTTATTTAAAAAAAAAATAACAAACTATTTAAAAAAAAACAAATATTAAAATAATAAAATAAAAAATAATTTTTAAATATATATATATATATAAATATATATATATATATATATATATATATATATATATATATATACATATATAAATTAATTGTTTTTTTTTATATTTTTGTTTTATAAAAAAAAAATATTTACCATTACATATAAATATTATTAAATATAATAAAAAATAAAATATCTATATTATTTCAACTACGCATTTCATTTAAATATTTAACATAATCTTCCCAATTTAAAGGTACTTGTTTTTCATTATATGCCTATTTAACAATTTATCCATCTGAAAAATATAAAATTCTATCTGCATAACATTCAATATCAGGATTATGAGTAACCATAACCATTGTTACTCTTTCTGTTTCATCTTAAGAATAACCAAAATTATTTATGCTTAATAAAAGATCCATTACTTCAACTTTTTTTTTTTTTTAAAAAAAGAAATTGTTTAAAAATTCATAAATATAAAAAGACCTGTAGATTTAGTATCTAAATCCCCTGTAGGCTCATCTAATAAAACAATAATAGGAGAATTTGCTAAAGCTCTTGCAATTGCAACTCTTTATTGTTCACCACCTGAAAGTTCTGAAGGCTTTTTTTTATATATAAGCAATTTATTTTTTAAAAAAAAACAAAATATACTAAATGATCCATTCTATCTTACAAACCTACTCTATTTAATAAATTAGTAACTCTTTATTTAATTTATTTTGAATTTAATTTATTAAGTATTTTCATGGGAAGTTCAACATTCTCATATGCAGTCATAGTTGCTAATAAATTAAATGTTTAAAATACAAAGCCTATTTTTTCGAGTCTTAATTTTGACAAATAATCATCTGATGAGTTTATGTCTATAATATTTCCTAATAATTCTATTTATTTTTAATTATTTATAAAAAAAAAATAAAAAAATATAGTTTTATTCCTTTTTTTATACTTATTGTTCCTGATGATGCCACATCTACTGTACCTAACATGTTTAAAAATGTTGTTTTTCCACCTCCTGAAGGTCCTCTTATCATTAAAAATTCACCTCTTATATTTTATTTCATTTAATATTATAGTATTTTTTTTATTTGTTTTTAACTTTTTAATAGACTTAAATTCATTATTATTTTGTAATGTAATATTTTTTAAAGCTAATATTTTATCATCTCTACCAATTAAAGTAAATTCTTTTTTTTTTTTTAATTATATTATGTTATTATGGATTTTATTTATATATATATATATATATATATAGATACATTTTGATAAACTATTACATTCTATAATGGTTTAAAAATCATCTAATGTTTTTTGTTGTAAATCGTATATATCTTAACGAACTTCCACTATTTTATTTTATTATTTATAAATTTTTTAATTGCTTTTAAAAATTATATATTTATACAATAAAGTTATTTTTTATTCATATCAATTATTTTCAATTATTTTATTATATTTATTTTTGAAAAAGCGAATAATATTGCAATTATATTTTAAAGGATTATTTGATAAATACAATATATATAATTTATTAAAAACTTAGATATTATAATTCAAATATTATAATTTAATAATATATTTTCTTTTATTTATTTTTTTAAATATATATATATATATATTTTTAATTTAAAAAATATTAATTAAAAAAGTAAATAACAAATTTTATAAATATAAATAAATAAATTAAAAATAAAGAATAATATAATATATTTTGGTTTTTTGTTTTAGTACTATTATTTAGTTAAATACATAATATTCACTAATATATATTAATTTCAAGTATAAAATGTAATAAAAAATAAAAAAACAGTAATTTTTTTATAAAAAAAAAAATAAAGATAGTTATATTAAATATTATTATTTTTTTAAAAAAAAAAAATAATTTAAATATTTGATTTATAAAATAAATACTTTAATACTTTTTTTTTTTAAAAAAAAAAATAATAATATTTTTTCAAATTATTTAAACTTTTCTTTTTAAAGCATTTAATTTTTAAATCTCGTTTTCAAGTTCAAAATTTTATTTATCTATATAAAAAATAATAATTAAATATAATTAATATTGTTTTTACCTATAAAACTTTATATCTATTAAATAGTTTATCCAGATTTTTTATAATTACAATCTTCTAATTCAAATTCTTTCATTTTTTTCCAATCGAATTTTGTTTGAAAGGATTATTATTATTCAATTTAACATTCATTATTTGATTAAATATCTTATTTTTCAGTTAAATTTTCAAATTATTTTTATGAATATTCATCGTCATTTTATGAATATTCATGATCATTTTATGAATATTCGTCAAAATTTTATTCGTCTTCTTCTTAATCTTATTTTTATTCATATTTTCGATAATCATCTTCTTTTAAAGATTCTTCTTTTTCAAATTCAGCATTAAGTTGCATGAATTTTTAATCGAAATTGTTTTCAATTTATTATAGAGATAGTTTTTTATTTTAGAATCTAATATTGTTATCACTATAGTTATTTTTTCTTTATTATTCAAATATTAGAATGAAGTATTATTTATTTTGTTTTCTTAAAGAAAATAACTTTAATTATTAGAATTTAATTTTTCTTAATTTTTATTTACAATTACATTATTTTCATTTAATGGTTAATATCCTTATTAACAATAACCGCATTCTTAAGGTGGTAAATTACAATAAATTACTTTTTAATCTATATTTGTATCTTAAATTGTATTTGATGGAATTCTGTCTATTTATTATTATAAGGACTTTAATAATATTTATTATTTGTTTAATATTAATTAGTTATTTAAGGATTATATTCAGTATTAGATTAATATTAAGCTGTTAATGATAGATTATATTAATTATTTTGTAAATATTAAGTTACCTAAGCGTTGGATTATTTATAGTTTTAAAATTGATTAATTTATTATGAAGGTTAATAATAAAAAGGAGTTTATTAATAATACTTGTTTTCATAGTTAGATAATTGATAATTATAATTTTCTTTAACATTTTCTTTATATTCATTTAATTAATTTATTTAAAAATCAATATTTAACATATTTAAAGATTTAGGATATATGAAATTTACATAATTTCTTAATTATTAAACATTATTTTATATATATTTCTAATCATCTAAATGATTTTTTTTTTTCCTAAATAATTATAAATACGGAACTTTTTTATTTTAACTTTAAGATTACTATATATTTAATAAAGAAGTATTATTTTCTTGTAAGGGATATGTTTCCGAATACTAATTAGGTTAACTATACATTTAATAAGAATTCATTTTTTTTTTTAAATAAATTATATATTAAATGTCAATATTTTTTTTTATAATAATACATAAAAATACATATATATGAATAAAAATATATATATATATATATCTATATATAATATAATTTTATTTAAAATTTATTTTAAAATTAGGACAAGAAAAATAATATTTAAACATAATATAAAGCTAATAAATATATTTATTTATATTTAAAATATACTTCAAACTATAATTTATTCAAATTATAAAATAAATTATTAATTTTATTTTTTATTTTAATAAAAAATAAAAATTAATAATCATTTTAAAGATTAGGAACATTCTATTTATAATTAATTTTATTTTTCAAAAAAGCTGAAATTTTATTCATATTTATTATTATTTATATTTTTAATTTATTAATCATTACTTTTTAGTTCAAACGTAAACAAAGACTTAGCTGGTTATGTATTCAATTTAATATCATTATTTTTAAAAAATTCTTAATTAATTTATTCATCATTATTTAAATTAAAATCTGTGAAAAATTATATATTTTCTTGATTTTCATTTTAAATAATTGAATTTTATTAAGGTAATACAAACTATTATATTTTTAATTCTTATTAAAATTGTTATTTTTATTGTAATTTTTATTCTATTTAATTATCTAATATTTCCTCATTATTTTAATCATTATTCATATCTGAAAAGAAACTAATGTCTAGAAAATTATTATTTTCTTGTTATTATTTTTACTAAGGTTAATCTTATTAATCATTTTATTATTCTTTTATTTCTTCTTCATTTTATATAGATTCTGTTTATTAATTTGAAATTTAATTGCGATATTTATTAATAGTTTACTATAAAATATTATCGTTTATATTTTTATTTAAAAAAAAGTAATTTTATTCCTCTTTATTTAAATAAAAAGGTAGGTTTCGGTTTTTATTAAGTTCTTAGATTAAAAAATCTTATTCGTTTTAATAAAAAAATGGATCTTAAAACAAGTTTTGAATATTAATATAATTTTAAATTTCATTATTTATATTTTTGTCTAAAGTTTTAAATAAATAAACTAAAATGTATGATTTTTCATCAATATTATCATCTTTATTATATTTATTTTTATTTAAAAATAAATAATTATTAATTAATTTATAAAAAGGATCTTATAAAAAATTTTAGTTATTATTATTATTATTATTATAATTATTATTATTATTATTATTATTATCACTATTATATTCTTTTATTTTTTATATTTATGTATATTAATATATTATTGTTTTAGTTTTTTCATCTTTTTCTTTAAAAGTTTCCCATAAATTATTTATTTATGAATGTATTTTTTATACAAACAAGGAATTCCAATGCTAATACATTTTTTCTTTTAATAAAAATACACTTCTTTATTTAAAAAACTTTGATATGTATTTCAAATCTCCTTCTAAAAAATCCAAATAATTATTCAAATTGTTCAAGAACATATTTTATTAATGAAAATAATACCTTTCTGAAGAATCTATTAATTATTTTTCTAATTCTATATACGGTTCGTCCATTTAGACTTATTAATGTCCTAAAAAATGAACTGAGATTTCATTTATTGACAAATCAACAATATTTTCAATAAAAGAAGTCAATAAACTATCAATTTAATATGAATTTTTTGAAAAAAAAAGGTGAAAATAATCATATCCTTCTCCATAATCTAATAGTGAAAATTTTTTATTTTTAGTAAAATTATTAAAAAGTTATAAGGAAATATTGTTAAGTTAATCTGGCATATAGTATTATTTTTTTAATTCTTAATCGCATTCAATTTATTTCATTTAAAACTAAAAATTTTCATGTCTTCGAATTTATAGTATTTTCAAAAAACAACCAAAAATATTTTCTTTGAAATCTTCTTTTTAATATACTTCTTTTATCCAAACTTTCAAAAAAATTCGCCATAAAGACATTTCGGGAAATTAAGGATATTCTGGAAATCCAATAAGGAAAAATTCATTAAAAATTTTAAAAAAATCGGATAATTATTCATCTAATTCTTCCAAAAAACATATATATGTGATAAATTTAGTATTATATTCGTGGAGTAAATCGAATCCGTTTTTTTTTTCTTTTTTATTTCGGAAACTATTTGAATGCTCGTGAAGGTATTCAAATGTTATTTGACATTAAAAAATACTTATGGTATATATTAGGGATATTAAATGTATCAAAAAAGGTACTTTTTCGGGTTTAGGGTAATTAATATTTATATAAAAACGTAGGTTTTTAACACAATTTTTTAATTCTGGATCATTTTTAAGTCCATCAAGGGCCTCTTTTATTAAAAAATCTTTTTAATTTTTAATTTTTTCAATTAATTCGATAAAATATTACTATTCAGAATTTTATTATTTTGTATTTTTTTAATTACCAGACCATAGGATTATTGATAGTTTATTTTAAAGCCAAGAACTGCAATAATTTCCTATGTTTTCTTTGCGTAATTTAAGGAGGGGTAAAGGCGGTTATTTCATAATGTTAAATATATATTTTTGAATGTTTTTTGCTTTTATTTCTTGATTAGTTATTTATTAATTGTTTTTTTGGTAAAAATTATATATTAATAAGTGTAAGTCTTGCTTTATTTATTGATTTTTAAGTAAATATTAATACCATTTGGTATATGTGCATTTATTATTGGCTAATATGTAATCTTTTTTTACTTTTCTATTATAAAAGTATTTATATAAGCAAAGTCGCTATAAAAATCAATTTTTTTTGGAAAAAATAAAGAGAATATATTCAAAGTTGTTAAAT